GTTTTTGAGTATACTAATACCAGCAGTAGTAGAATTAACACCCAGGAGCATATTTCTATTATTCATTGGTTTGATTGATAGGCTACGAACATACATCCAACTCTCCCAATTTTATGTGCAAGAGGAAAACACCCGCAGGAAAATATCAGAATATACAGTCCACTTCAAATTAATAATAAACATAAACTTTAATAATCTAATAATTTAGTAAATAAATAAATGAACAAATAAATTTCAGCTGGGAAAATTACCCGACATTTTGTATACTGTCGACGTGTACACAATATGTCGCCTTGTACACAATATGTCGCCTTGTACACAATATGTCGCCTTGTACACAATGTGTCGCCTTGTACACAATGTGTCGCCTTGTACACAATGTGTCGCCTTGTACACAATGTGTCGCCTTGTACACAATGTGTCGCCTTGTACACAATGTGTCGCCTTGTACACAATGTGTCGCCTTGTACACAATGTGTGGCCTCGGACACCACAGGACACCTAATTACCTACAATACCTTCAGGAACACTGCGTTCTTGACTTGTTTAATTACCATTTGGTTGAGGGACTGATCCGGAACAACCGTGCCCTTGCAATGGGGGAGAATTCTTTGAATGCTGCTTGCAAGCACTCTTGAATTTGTTGCTTAGACTTGCCTCATGTTAAACGTAGTGTCGCGTGCAATAACGACCACCAGCGAGTCGTTAAAGAGGGTAATTACAGCAGGGATTTCATTACAATAGTTCTCGAAATTACAATCCAGGGGGTCCTGTGGCCTTTCATTAAAAATGTCGAGAAAACAAAATTTAGTTTCTGGAAACAACTGGGGAAAAAGTGCACATTATTTGCTTTTCAGAGCCACTCCCGCACTTCACTTCCGGATCCTATAGCTGGAGTGGAAGGCCTTAATGCGTCCACGTTGGGCTCTTGAGTGTTTGTGAGGGGGGTGTGGAGTCGGGATTGTGGTGGTGGGGGGGGGGGGTTGAGCATGGATGGTGGAGTGAGGGGAGTAGAGCAGGAATGGTGGAGGGAGGGGGGTGGAGCCGGGCTTGTGAAGGAAGGGGGGGGGGTGTACCCGGGCTGGTGGAGGGGGGGGGGTGGAGCCGGGCTTGTGAAGGAAGGGGGGAGGGTGGAGCCGGGCTGGTGGAGGGGGGGGTCCAGGCTGGAGGAAGGGGGGGTGGTGGATTTGGGCTGGATGATAGGGGTGTGGAGGCGGGCTGGTGGATGGGGTGTGGAACATGTTTGTGTAGAGACAATTAAAAGGAAGAACGGCTTTTACTTTATTTTTATTTTTTTGCAGCAGGGTTAATTAAGGTTAAGCATCAGAGGAGCTAGGCCCTAAAGGCGTGGTGGGTAGCGGAAGAGTTGAGATCAGGGCGAAGATTGTTGTTGTTTTAAGATTCAGCAACTGGGAACACAAAGTTGCAAGTAGCACGGGCTATGGCGAGCCCGTAGTGGACTTACACGGCACAGGAACAGGTCTGTAACATTCAAAGAGTAGAGAGGTTGTGTCCAGATGTGGCTGATGCTCGGAAAACGTTATTATTACGTCGATTTGATTTTGGCTTTACAATTTCGACGAAGTGATCGACTGTTGAAAATGTGATGTACTGAGTGTGTGAGAGAACAGCTGGAGATAATAGTGAGGACTGAGGAAAATGGTAGACAACCATTAAAGTAGATCTCTCTCAACTGACAGGGTCACAAGGCCCTAATCTACCTTAGTTTTGAGGCTTCAAATAGCCTCGTGTAGCTGGCTTTCTATCCTTTAAGGAAGGAAGAGGTGGGGGGTTATAGAAGCCACATAAAACCTCCTTAAATTATACAAGTAAAATATAAATATAACCAATATCTTGCTATATAATATTGGTGCTGAATGTAGAATGTGACAAACATTATTTTAATGATAAATAAGCTCAGTTTACAAAGAAAAAAGAAATTTGTGGTGGGTGATGGTGATAAAATTATATTTGAATTGATTTGAAGTAATATTCTCAGTAGCTTTGTCATAACATTGGTTTAGGCTGGGGGTGGTGGGGTGGTTATCTTCTTGAGGTTATCTTGAGATGATTTCGGGGCTTTTTAGTGTCCCCCGCGGCCCGGTCCTCGACCAGGCCTCCACCCCCAGGAAGCAGCCCGTGACAGCTAACACCCAGGTACCTATTTTACTGCTAGGTAACAGGGGCATAGGGTGAAAGAAACTCTGCCCATTGTTTCTCGCCGGCGCCTGGGATCGAACCCAGGATCACAAGTCCAGCGTGCTGTCCGCTCGGCCGACCGGCTCCACCAACTCCGACCGGGGTGAGCATTGTAACGGGTCGGTTTGTTCTGGAGAGTAACGGGAGTGTTATAGAGTGGCATGATTGTTTATCCTGATAGGTAAGCAGTGGTCAATACAAATAATACTATGATGTAACAATTGGTATTGACAATGAACGCCTTAAAACTCTTTAACATTCCTAGAGACATTACTTTGCATGAATTTCAAACAATATCTGTCGTCTTTCGATTCATAGAACAAGGAATTTTTTGCCGATGAAACGGACTCAAGTGAATTTTTAGACATTTTAAATAAACATTTAGACTCTGAAAGCCAAATCTATTTTTAAGTAGAAGGTAGTAAGAAAAGGTTCAGAAACCTGAGAACATTATACTCTGCCTACATCATCTAAGGTTACAATCTGCTGTATATGTTAGTCTGGCCAAACTCGTAGCATCAGTCACAAACTCATTCTTATAGTTCACCTTAAGTCATTTATATAGATTAGGAACATTGCAATGGTTTTAACTTGTTTACCCCTCGTGTGGCCCGACCCCATGAGTGGCATAGTGGTAGCTGATGCTGTCCACGCCCAACCCCACACATGTGACTGCATAAAGAGGAAATTTTATTTTTAATAGCCTCATTTTATATATATGCTGACACCATTAAAAATTGTTATCAACTCTTTATCACAAGCTTTTATGGTTTTAAATATGTGAAGCTGGTGATAAGTAGTTATTGAATTGAACTGTCATTTCTTCTACATTTGTTATCTATGCTCTCGAGTGATTAATATTGTATGATAGTGTGCAACAAATGATCACAAAAACTTAATGGTAGTGTATGAGCGTGGACCAACATTTATGTTCTTATGGGTATGAACTACAGCTCCTGTGTCCCGCCTCTTAACCTTAAACAGGCGTACATTAATGTCTTGAGTTTTGAAGAGACTGATGTTGAATCCTAGCGTCACCTAACTTTCACACACGAGACATTTGGGGGATGGAGGTGTCATAGGTCAGTCTCCAGTGCCACACTTTTAAGAAATACCACTAATGATCGTCCCACCTTCCCCCCCCCCCTTGTGAGATTTTCATGAAGTAAAACCTGAGATATTATTAGTGTTGCTCGTATATTGTACTTATTTAGCAGTTTCAGTGCGTCGTTATGTAATTTTATGTGACAAGAGGGAAGGAGGAGGAGGAATGATTCAGGGAGAGGGAGGGAGAGAGAGGGAATGGGAATGTTTTGAAGAGAAGGAATGAAAGTGGGAGGGAGGGAAAGATGGAGAGAGGGCAGAGAGGTGAGAGTGGTGGTAGATTTGGAGACTGAAGAGCAGGGATGTTGGGGAGAAAGAGGGCAAGGATGGAAGAATGGGGAGAAGAGAAGGGAAGGGAAGGAGAGAGAGAGACTTAGGTGCAGCCGGCCACCCTCTTCTGGTGTGTTATCTTAAGGCTATGTACTAGTTTAAGCTTATCATTGGTGTTTGATGCTTTATTCTCCTACCGAAGACAGGAATAAAGGAAACTGCAGAAGGCCCAACATACGACAAATTTATAATTATGAGCTGGAGTACTGGCAACAGTTACCATATAGCCGCTGACGTGTGAAAATTGCAGAATCTAAATGCAAAAACAGATTGCCAAGAAGAATAGATACCTAAACACCTGAAATAAATTATGTATTCATTATTATTGTCATGCACAGTGATTATACACGAAGAATTGTAACTTATATTTAGTTTTAGACACTTTAGTCCTGGACTAAAGTTTAGTATAGTTTGTGTTTGGTCAGTAAGGTACAGTGTCGAGGCTATAATGTCCCCTCATGCTGTTGATGGGCCTTAAGCCCAACATCAAAGCATTCTCTCTCTTAAGCATATGTTGTGATTCCTCCTTTGTTCTGTGCTCTCGGTATTTCTAATACGCTTGTATGATTGTATTTTGATCTCGAGGTATTGTTATACCATGGTCTCTCTCTCTCTCTCTCTGGGGTGGCATGGATCTTTCCCGGAGTTTCTTCGTATTTGGTAGTTATGAAGGCTGTCACGCCTTGTGTGTTACCGTTTCATCGAATTCTATTTTCCATGGTATTCTCTCGAGGAATTCTTTGATCTTCTGGACCCCACTAGGAGAGAATGGATTTTGCCAGCCGTCTTAATATGTGCAGAGTGTGAGTGCACAGTGACAGATGAGTTCTCAAGAGTGCACAGTATGTGTGCACAAAATCAAGTTCTGTTAATACAAGACGTAAGTATACTTTGTTGGGTATTTACGGGAGAGCTCGGGGTCATCAGGAGACCAAGGTAGTGCAAGGGGCCATTGTATGCCTAGTAGTTTGTGAATTACAGCATTGTATGTATGCAAGGTGTAAGTGTGACAGGCTGGACCTAAAGCGAGTACAAACATTTCTCTCATTGTTAGTGTTTTTCTTGTTGATCTTGGATCAGCTGTTGATAGTCTGACCCGTAGTTATCTCGCTATCACCCGGTGCAGTTCAGTTTTGTGAATATAGTTAAACTTGCTTGAACTGTTGTGATCATAAACAAATATATATAATATATAATATGCATATGGCGGCATACATAGAGCTTGTGTGGGGTTACATAGGCCTATTGTTAGTTAAAAGGTGACTTGTCAGGGTTGGCACACTAGCGGGGTTCTCACTACTGGGGTTCTACCAGCAATTTTCTCATAGAATTTTGTTAAATGGTTTTAATGTTAAATGAAATAACTCTGGATTTTCAATATCTTTATTGTTTTTTCAAAAAAGGACAATTGTGAACATCATTTGTATTCCACTAGATTAATTAATTGCGATAAAAGAACATTTTTTGTAATGATTTCTTTGGAATTTAAGATTAATGTTGTCATTATGTATTGACACCTATTTGGAATAACCTCAACATTGAATTTTAATTATAATTATTTCCAAATTTTGCATCTCAGTGATGCTTGATTGAAATTTTAGACATAAACTTTTGTGCTTGATGCCGACCATGTTACAATAACGTGGCTGAAAATCTGACACTCAGACATCCAGGACGGACCGGAATGTCGTCAAATCTTTCATTTTCAGATCTGTGGGGTTTGGGTGTCCTTTGTGCGTGATTTTATACGAGTAACAAATAGCCTAGTGCTTGACACATTGGGACGTTGGGAATCCGTTTTCTAAACGATGACTCCTGCCTCGCCAACTGATAGGTGGCAGCACAGTTATACATGTTTTTGAAACGTATGGGCTACGGAATATATAGAAACAATAGTGTATAGTGGTCTGGCTACAGAGTTCTTTCGTACCGAGTTTGTCCTGGTAAAGTTCAAGTATGTTTATTGAGATAAGAAAGAAATACATCTCAAAGGGGTAGAGTAGCTTAGGCTATTTCTACCCCCCTTGTCCTGGTCGTCTTCTGTCTGGTGGATGACTGGCACGACTCCCCTACAGGGAAGTTACACAGGTTATAGAGAGCATGTAGCGTAGGCTACAATGTGGAGTGACCTGGGGGGCGGTCTATGTTGCGACACTGAGGAATATTGTCCTGGCATTATTCATGCAGGGACAGTATGTCGTTGTGGGTATAGTAATATATTGTGGTGTGGCTTGAGAATGATGCAGTGTGGTTCAGGGACTATGAGGCCGTAGACAAGAGTGGTGTGGCTTGAGGGACTACGTTGTAGCAGTCCGGTGACAACATTGAGGGGTGTGGTCGAATATAAGACTACGCTGTGACTAGCTCCGTAGACAACCTTGTGATGCGGTCCCATAACAAATTTGAAACATGTGAGATGGGTCATAACATTACCCACGTGTCCCATTGTAGTATAAACCTAGATCTATATTGCGACGTTGCCAGCACACTACCAAGGCTGTATTGTAGTCCCGGGGACGACGAGTAGCCTACTGTGGGATGGTCGTGGGTCTGTACACTGTGGCATAGTGCAGGGACTAAGGAAAGACTGGGTCGGTGCCAGCCTGGGCGGTCTTGAGCTGGTCCTGGAGGTCCCGCATCCCACGACACACCACCTCCTCCTGCCAGGGAAGACCCACCACCTGCGCCGCGATGGGCAGGCCCGTGGCGCCGCGAGTGGCCTGGAACATGACAATGTTTACACACATTTATTGTGGAATATCGCCCTCCCTCCTGTCCCCTTGCCAGCCATCTCGTTTAACTTAAACATTTGTTGCGAGATTTAGGAAAACTGTCACAAAATAAAAGTAATTACTAAACAAAATCCCATTATTTGTATTTTTGAAAAAATTTATGCTATAATTTTCATAAAATGACAAAGTTAAAAGTTCTGTGTAATTCTGTGTTTCGTAATCTCAGTGCTTTTTAAATTGAAGGTAATTTAAAGATAAGTTGGGAACGGTGTCTTGGAGTCGACTGTAGCTCCCGGACTGACCTCCTTCACCAGCTGGAACATCAAGTCGTCGGTCGGGTAGTCGTCGAGTTTGTCCTGGTCGTCTTGTGTCTCGTGGGTGACTGGCACGACCCCCGCCGGGAAGTTGCACAGGTTGTAGAGAGCACTCGTGATCATGGCCGCTGTCGGGAGATCAGAGATAATATTACTACCACCACACTTAGAAGGCAACGGACCCTGGCGCTAGTGACACGCAATACGAGAGGAAGATTTAGCAGTAGTATTCAAGGTCACAGGCGAGACTAAGGCGGGTGTAACAGCTATATCACACACACACAGGTTGTATCACACTAAGGTGTAAGGGAGGCATGAGTGCTCGTGTACACGAAGCATAGGGAATGTTAAGAGTGTAGGCAGGCAGGGTTATATGAGGTAAAAAGAAACAAAGGGACCTACAGAAGACCCGCTGGCCCGTGCCAGGCAGCTCATCCACATATACCCAACTGAACTCATTCATGTGTGTCTAACCGACACTTAAACAATCCAGCGATCCCATGTCTATTATTTTTAACCAGTAATTTATTCCATAAATTTACCCCCTTTTTCCAAACCAGTGTTTAGTCTCGTCTTTTTCCGAGCCTAAACTTAGTTCTGTTGGTATATTTAGCATTTAGTTTGGGGAGCCGGTCAACCGAGCGGACAGCACACTGGACTTGTGGTCCCGGGTTCGATCCCAGGCGCCGGCGAGAAACAATGGGCAGAGTTTCTTTCACCCTATGCCCCTGTTACCTAGCAGTAAAATAGTTACCTGGGTGTTAGTCAGCTGTCACGGGCTGCTTCCTGGGGGGTGGAGGCCTGGTCGAGGACCGGGCCGCGGGGACACTAAAGCCCCGAAATCATCTCAAGAAACCCCTTTTATACCCTTTACTCTAATTGTATATTTCATTCATATCTTCCTCTGTCTAGAGAATGCCAATCAGGCTTTGTTATTCTCTCTTCATAAGGAAGGTGCTCCAAAGCCGAGTTGGGCATTACCCATGATCTTAGTTGGGTAGGGATGGGGTGGAGCAGGCATGGGGAAGGCTGGGGAGAGGAGCAGGTCAAGACGAGCGGTGGTCCAGGCCTCCGTCAGCTGCCCCACGTAGTCCTCCTGCTCTCCCAGGGCGCGCAACAGTTGGTACGACTTCGCCGTTTCGTCTGCAATCATGACAATGCTTATATAACTTGGTGATGCAAAGTTGATGGATTTGCTCGAATATAACTATGTAATTATGCATATTTTGTTTAATAGTTATGCCTGGGATAGGTTAAGTGAGGTGTTCTTGTTTTGTTGGCAATTGCTTGTATTTGCAGTACGTTGGTGAAAGATACAAGAATAATTTGAACTTAAAATAGGTTTTATTCATGCTTGCCAAATGAACAGGAAAACATGAAATAGGGAAATATGATTTGAAGGAAAAGGCTGGTAGAAGTAGCACGTAAGAACTTACGACATGACCAGATTTACTTTTCTCTGTATTTTTTCTAATTCAACAGCAAAACATAATGTGTGTCCTAGCCACGACACGCCGATGAGCTCTGTGATGACTATGGCGGTACTATAGGGATAATTAACTGCTCTAGAAGAAATTATTGGAGAGGACGACTATCATATGGTAATCGCAAGTACCAGGAGGTCATTTCATGGTAAAATGGTCTCTAAGGAAATGATGCAAAATGTGATATCCACTCTATTTAAGGACCTGTAAGAGGGGATGTGGGAGTGCTGTACCGTACTCGTTAAATCCGGGGCTGTCCTAATACCCGGAGGTATTAAAATAACGTTCTGGTTCACCAGGCTGTAGTAGAAGGCAAAATTGAACAGAAAACGAGTAACACAAATAATGATTGAAGAGGAGATGAAAATGGCAACATATATATAGGAACGGGCCAGAAATAATTTATAGTTATAAGCAGGGAAGCAGAAAATCCAATAAGAGTTCGAGCATTCTTAAAGACCAACCTAACTTGCCTCCCAGCCCTATCAGGAGAAGGAAGATGTTCTGGTATCAGGCTCAATAGATGAAGAACATGTTGCATATGATCAGGAAGTGTGTGTGTAGTACTTGAACTCCTAAGAGAACTGAATCCTCCAGGCGAGATTTGGAGAGAAAGTGACCTCTCCCCCCTCAGTGGTGGGGGATGGGGAGTCCGGACTCTCCCCTTAATGGTTAGGGATGAACACAGCTCACAATCACACATGCACAAACAAGTCGTGTGCACCATGCCTGGTAACACTCAACACGCGTGCACGCAGGTGCATCAATAGAGCATAAAGATACTAAACTTATTTCAGAGTTTTGGAACTTCTGCAAAATTTATATCGGCTATAAGAGTCAATATCGCGCCATAATATATGGCGCCATAATATACTACTCACCGTCAATATCGGTGAGTAGTATAATAATAGTGGTGGTAGCGGTATAGTGATGTATTGTGGTGGTGGGGGGTATTTGTGATGATACTGGTGACGTTACCCAGTAACGTCGCTACATTGTTTTAGTTTTTCTCAACCTTTGGGGGGTAATGGGACCATTCTCTGGAAAGTGTGTAATATCATAAAGAGGAAAGCCAGCTTTATTTGTGAGGCAAGACAACTTACTTGACAAAAATTTAGCCATGAGTGGCGACTTCTCTTGCATGATATGCTTCTGAACGGCCTTAACGAACCTGGGCGCTGCCATAATCTTAGCGTTGGTGCTGATGGATTGGTCGACCACCTCACCCTTCAGGAGTTGAAGCAAGCCGTGACCTTGATCGGAGGTGACGCAAGCAGCCATGATGTTGAACGCCTGATGCACTTCGGGTGGCGTGAATGGCACCAGCTGGTGGCCAGCCGCCTGAAGAGCTTCGCGGGCCACCGCCACGGCTCTCTGGCATCCAGGAGTCACCGGAAACACGCCGTCGTGGTCGTACCAGCCGATACGAAGTGGACGGTCGTCAGTGTAGAGGTGGTGTCGCCAGTGCAGTGGCACCAGCTTGGGGTCAGCTTGGAACATGAGGTCGCCCTCGAGCAGCGCTCTCATCCCAGCCACCACGATCTCCACGTCGCGCCCCAGTAGACCCGGTGCCGAGAGGACTGGGGAGGGGGACACGAGCATCACGCTCATGGAATATAGCATATATCTATAATATAGTATATATCTATACTACCCATAACAGGGAAAATTGCTATATAATTAGTGAGGAGAGGTTGGCTTGGCGGTGCTGAAGTAGCGACCATCAAGACAAAGATCCTCCTGCTAACTGCTTACTACATTGTTCCTGTTAAGTGTGTTACAACAGTGCTTCTTAATTAGTTATAACAGTGACCTCGAGATCAGGACTTGTGCTACTTACTTCCTGTTGCACCTTTAGTTGCAGTGGTGATGCCCTTGTTACTGAGTCTACCGGTGGTGGTCTTTAAGCCCACCACACCACAGAAGTGGGCCGGGATCCTCACGCTGCCAGCCAGGTCCGCGCCCACCCCAAACACCGACCCACCTGCGCCCACTAGCGCCGCCTCTCCACCTGTGGCGCGGAAACATGCTGGCTTAGTGATACAAACCAGAAAACAACACTTACAAACGGGAAGAATGAGCACAATGACAACATAGAGGACAAGGTTGGACAACTGACGGGTGTCACATGGAAGGAATGAGGAGGACAAGTGAGACGGGAAGGGTTTGGTTGACCAACCTGAGGAGCCGCCGCAGGTGCGCTCCGTGTTGCTTGGGTTGACTGTCTCACCCCACACCGGGTTGCTGCACCCATAGCTGTAATGGTCATATCATATAAACACACATGGCATTCTAATAATGTGTTTGATATGAAGAGTTGTGATTACTGTGTCAGAGAGCCTAACACTGCTCATCCTTATGTGACAATATAATTTATGTTGACGGTCTAATTGCATCTACCAACAGTACGTTAACGAGCAGAATCCAGGAGCTTGAATCATGAAACAACTTGCTAGAACCTGTGCAGTATTTCGATAAATTTATCCCACAGCTAACAGAATTATCACTAAATTATAAAATTTGTGGGTGGAGGTGACAGCGTGAGCTGGCACGGAAGAGGCTGGCAAGAGAAGGAAGGTTGACAGGGTGTGGGAGGTTGGTGTAGCCTCGCCTGCTGGAAAGAAGGTAGTGACATGTTGTCTCTCACCTGTTACAAGTTTGGGGCACATTGGTCTTGCAGAAGGGGACAGCCCCTTGGGAGCGGAGAGCGTGGACTATGGCGGAGTGACAGGTGGCTGGGCGATAGAGTTTCTTGGCGAGTCCGAGGGTCGAGTCCCGACCTTCGACATCGATGTTGTCCTTCACACTCACCGGCAGCCCGAACAGTGGCAGGTTCCTGGCCTCGGGCGGGCCCGCCTCCAGTGCTGTGGCCCACACCTGTGGGACACACAAATGCTGGATGCTCAAACTCAGTCACTCAAAGGTGAGAGTACACCAGCCGACATGTTTATGCCCGAAACGCTTTGCGTAATAGTGGCTTTAGGCATTGTATGTACTAGTTCTACCTATAAGTCCACCAATCTTTGTAAAAATTTCTTGTATGTATGTACCTTACCTAAATAAACATTTATTTATTTTATTTATTTATTAATTTATTTATTTATATAGGTGGAATAATGTTGCTATTTCTAAAAGTTGTCAGTCCCAACGGGTTGACAACTTTTAAAAAATTCATATACGGTCTTTTGATCACATTTATTAACAGATTGAAAAGATTGTACAAATGGGATTTACTGAAAATTAATAAATTTTCTGAAGTCTTGTCAAAATCATAAGTATTGCTTGAAATAATGCAGGGTATTGGTCAGGTACACTATTATATCTACAAAGACAATAAATCCCGAACTGTAAAATTTTAAAACATAAAATGCGAAAAGGGAAGGTTAGGTAAATTATATGGAGAAAGTGTTAAGCCACCACGACTATATAGCACTTGGCAGGGATGCTGCTTAACCTCTTGGAGGATTGGGGATTGAACGTCGGCCTGCAAGACACAAGGCCGTTGCTCTACCGTCCAGTCCAAAAGAAGTCAAACTTGAGAAGTCACGAACGTGAGGAGAAAAAGTTCATGAATTCTGGTAAATTGCAAAATATGGTCCTCACTGGTCTGATCACATGTCCACTTGCATGACCGAAAAAAAAACATTTCGGAACCTAAGGAGGAGACCTGAAAGGTGCATGACCTAAGACCCATTGTCGAGTACGCTGCCTCGACGTAGACCCCCCCTCCCCCCTCTCACCATCTAAATAAACAACAACAACAAAAAAAGCTTGGAAAAATTAAGAGGAATTCTATTTAAGCTAAACCTTTCCGCAATTGAAGAGACGAGAGGACGTAAGTGTCTCAAGGAAATAGTCGATAAATTACTTGTTCAGTATAACAAGAGAACACAAGAATGAAGGCTTGAGACGCAGACGAGCCGCAAAGATGTTAGAAAAATCGTTTTTTTTTTAACGCAAGAGTTGTGAACAACTGCAATGAACTAAAGGAAAGAGACAGTAGAAAATGAACACACTTTTTTTTTATAAACAATAGGTAAACTAGGGAAGAGTTGAGTCGTTAGTTGCTGCATTAGATCACCAATAGCTGGGTAGGCAAGGCTTGGTAGGTAATGCTTGACCCCCTCAAGTGTGTGTGTGTGGGGTAGGTGGATGGGTGGACTAGCTTAATTTAAATGTGCTTTGAGGGGTAATTAACTACATAGTCATCCCGGCTTGGCGCTTTCTTCTGAGAATTGCTTACTTACCCTCAAGAGAGCGCGCGCACTTTTACGTTGGTGAACGTACCTCTGCTTGGGGGATGAACTCCGTCACACAGTTGACTCTGTAGGTGGTGACGATGGCCTGTGACAAAGACACGGTCCCCTGCTAGTGTGATCAGATAGTTAGTGTGACGGGATACACACGGTGACTCCTTACACGACCAAACATCACATTCACCCCAAACATCTACCACTTACGGGCTACTCATGCCCGTGCCCCACTCTTGTGGTGACTTGATCGTCATAGTGACCGGATTGTCACTATAATTGACACAATCTACAGTCGTTGGATACAGTGTGACGGGATGTAGTCACGGGATACAGACAGTGTGACGGGATGTAGTCACGGGATACAGACAGTGTGACGGGATGTAGTCACGGGATACAGAGAGTGTGACGGGATGTATAGAGGTGCGGGTGTGACATGCACGCTACACTGATAATCAAAAACACCAAATCCTCTACCAAAACCAATCCAAGAGTCATGAATGAGTCCTGATTGTGGAATTCAATGAGAGTGAGAGATGGCTCCTGACACACATGTAGTGTCAGTGTTGCTTGTGTCATGTAACAAGTGACCTTAGCCTGGTTTGATTCACGTACACGCGAAAAACGGTTCATGATTTTGTCCAGCATAAATAATGCCCCACAAGAGACTGACATTGAACCTGATGGCCCTATCCATTTATAACAAGGCAGTTAAGCTGACCTCTTGAGCCAGGGGGACATAAGTAACATGGTAAAACTAGCTGACCTTGGCCTGAAATGCCTTGAGGACATGCGTGGGGGCGAGGTGACCCTCCCTGAGCCTCTGGAGGAGTGTTGTGGGAGGCAGGGCTAAGATGGCCAGCCTCTCCTCCGACAGCAGCTCCCCGCCCTCGTTGAGTCCCGCCTCCAGTCGGTTCAGTGCCACCCGCACCTCCTTCTGCCGCTGCTCCAACGAATCCTGAAGTTTCTCCTGTAAAGCGGAAAACTTGGTAACAACTGCTACTGCGGAGAAACCTGTTGGAAACGTTCATCCATCAGCTGGTTTATTGCTTTTTCCTTGTATTATCATGTACCGTGTTGGAGATACAACTTGTACAGTATATGGGTCCCTGATACGTGATATCACGAAGCTACGTGATGCATGTACACGCTGCGGCTATGGTAGATAATTGATTAGACCTAGCCGAAGTGCTACATATCAAATACCTGTGTATTGTGTGCCCCCCTGTAATGTGTGTACCTGTGTATTGTGTGCACCTGTGCCCCCTGTAATGTGTGTACCTGTGTATTGTGTGCACCTGTGCCCCCCTGTAATGTGTGTACCTGTGTATTGTGTGCACCTGTGCCCCCTGTAATGTGTGTACCTGTGTATTGTGTGCACCTGTGCCCCCCTGTAATGTGTGTACCTGTGTATTGTGTGCACCTGTGCCCCCCCTGTAATGTGTGTGTGTGTGCGCATGTGTGCGCGCGCGCGCGTTTTTCAGGCAGGACCATACGACGGGGCCTAGCTAGCAAGGCTCGTGGATCCATCCATTAGGCATGAATGGAAAGTCATTTTCATAATTTCGTTCTGATACACTTTTGATGCCTGTTATAGTTCTCTTCTATTCAGTTATCTGTGTTTTTTCCCCATTTTCTCCTGCTATTACTTTTTAGCTCTTGGCGTTTTTTCCCTCGGCCCCCACTTTATTCCTCAGTGATGCTGTGTACCTCTTCTTAGCCTCTGGACATTTTCGCTTTGTGTATTTTTATTTGTTGGACTAGGTAAGTAACCCTTAACTTCCACCCCCATTCCACAGTCGCCAGATATTTTTTTAATTCGCATGTAATTCCGTCTTGTCTCCTTTCCTTGCTATCTTGTCATGTCTGTTGACCAGACCACACGCTAGAAGGTGAAGGGACGACGACGTTTCGGTCCGTCCTGGACCATTCTCAAGTTGATTGAGAATGGTCCAGGATGGACCGAAACGTCGTCGTCGTCCCTTCACCTTCTAGTGTGTGGTCTGGTCAACATACTTTAGCCACGTTATTGTGACTCATCGCCTGCACTGTCATGTCTGCTTTCACTTCTGTCATTTGCTCGAAGGTTACCAGGGGGCAGACAGAGGTTTAATATGGAGAAAACACAAGAAGCCTTCCAGGTGATCATTGGTGCCTGTGACTGGAGACCTCGTCGTCACGGAGGAAGGAATTATCAGGGGAAAGTGCCAAGCCATTACGACTATTTAGCACTTGGGAAGGGGTCAGGATAAGGATTTGGGATGGGACGGAGGGAAGGAATGGTGCCCAACCACCCGTCGTCACGAGATGTGTATAGAAGGCCTGGCCCACACACCTGTGACAGATGTGCATACAAGGTCTGGCCCACACCTGTGACAGATGTGCATACAAGGTCTGGCCCACACCTGTGACAGATGTGCATACAAGGTCTGGCCCACACCTGTGACAGATGTGCATACAAGGTCTGGCCCACACCTGTGACAGATGTGCATACAAGGTGTGGCCCACACCTGTGACAGATGTGCATACAAGGTGTGGCCCACACCTGTGGACACGGGAGCGATTAGAAACTAGGTCTTAATAACTGCTTGATTAGATGCTCACGATAACGAGTGTCGAGACTGCTTAGAACTAGTAAAAACAAAATTCTTGACTGTGCAATATAAATTGTTTGGTTGTTATTGATTGTTGTTTTGCCTGTCCTGCTTTAACAGGTTTAATTAGTTAATGTTAATTAAAGGTAACACAACGTATGAAAGATAAAGTGTTAAGAAATTACTTTCCCTAACTTCCACTAGCTTTGCTCTCCACGTCACGCCATTGGGGAGGGGGTTTCTTCGATTCACATGTCTATCACTCTATGATTTAGTTTCACAATTATTATATATGTTGTTCTCGTGTTTAATTGATGTATGCTTGGTGGTGTCGTAATTACCTAAGTGTAATTACCTAAGTGTAGTTACAGGATGAGAGCTACGCTCGTGGTGTCCTGTCTTCCCAGCACTCTTTGTCGTATAACGCTTTGAAACTAGCGTTATATGTCGTGTGTGTGTGTGAGAGATGGTTTATGAGGACAAAGTTAAGTCTTTTCGTACCTGGTAATGTGCGCACAACATGATGAGCCTCGTAGACAAGGTTCCTGCAAGTTAGTAAGAGCTGTTATTAATTCACTTGTTGTCTTTATGAGTTATCCTATTGTATATTATCCAATCTATAATGTATTCTTGATCTAGAGAAACGCCAAGATGAGTCGACTACATTTGAAATTTTTTACCTGTGATTGCGGGACATGACGGATTACGTGGTAATATATATATATATATATATATATATATATATATATATATATATATATATATATATATAATATATATATATTATATAATATTTTATATATATATATATATATATTATATATAAAAAATATAATATATATATATATATATATATATATATATATATATATATATAATATATATATATTATATAATATTTTATATATATATATATATTATATATAAAAATATATAATATATATATATATATATATATATATATATATATATATATATATATATATATATATATATATAAATATGCATGTATATATATTACATATATATACAAGATGGATGACGATGTTAAATTTTCGTCTTCATTGTGTTCGATGATGGTGGTTACCACCACCATCGCACTATGCACCATTTATCAGAGTTGTGTAACACTTTATGAACTTCAGAGAAGCTAATGACTTCAGAGTGCGAACTCATAAGAGCATAACCCGTTTTTAAGTTTTATTAAAATTTTTGGATTGGTTGCTCTCCTCCCAACCCACTTTTGCAATTTAGTTTAGTTGGTTTGGCAATCGACTCCTTTCCAATTTAGTCTTGTGCTTGACGAGATACTGACCAGATATGCTGGCGCTGCATACTCCAGGATTGGTCTGACATATGTGGTATATAAGGTCCTAAATGATTCCTTACACACGTTTCTGAAGGTATTAGAAAGCCAGCCTAGCATATGCCGCTGATATCCTCTTGATGTGGGCTTCAGGGGACAGGTCTGGTATGATATAAACTCTCAGGTCTTTCTATCTGATTTTTGAAGGATTTCATATCCCAACTGGTACCTTGTATCTGATCTGCTACCTACACCTATCTTCATTACTTTACATTTGCTCGGGCTAAACTGATAGCCATTTGTCGGACTATTCCTTCAGTTTGTCCAGGTCATCTTGTAGCCTCATGCTGTCGTCCTCCTGTCTTAATCCTTCTCATAATGTTTGCTGATGATGCCAAAATTGAGAAGAATGAATCTGTTTCTTCTTCAAGATCAATTACGTATATCAAAAACAGAATTGGTCAGAGTACAGAACCCTGTGTGACTCTGCTAGTGACATCACGCACTTCATGAGAGAGAGAGAGAGAGAGAGAGAGAGAGAGAGAGAGAATGAATAAGAGCGAGGTGAAAGTCTACGAGAGACAAATATCATCGGAAAAACAGGTACACCACAAGCGAGAGGTTAATGTTATCGGCGAACTGATGTCGAAAATCGATACCTCTCGCGGGTGCGGTGTGGTCGTGTAATATTTGATCAGCTGGCCGCTGAAGTTGCGTGGGTTGATAGTGAGCTTTAGGCCTATCAACCTCTGCAGGATTAAGGTCGCAACACTGTCCAAACAACATAAATAATATAGTTGGGAACTGTGTACTTACACCAAGGTAACACCTTTCCCTGTATGTGTCACCGCCAGAATCAGCTGATATAGGTACGTCTGGTTTATTAATTAATAATACTCTACTAGTATTAACAATTATGATTAATATAATATTGCATTAGAGCTTTTTTATCCGTTCTATTATAGTCTGGTGCGTTATATATATACTTATATATATATATATATATAATATATATATATATATATATATATAATGTCGTACCTAGTAGCCAGAACTCACTTCTCAGCCTACTATTCAAGGCCCGATTTGCCTAATAAGCCAAGTTTTCCTGAATTAATATATTTACTATAATTTTTTTCTTATGAAATGATAAAGCAACCCTTTTCTCTATGTATGAAGTCAATTTTTTTTTATTTGAGTTAAAATTAACGTAGATATATGACCGAACCTAACCAACCCTACCTAACCTAACCTAACCTATCTTTGTAGGTTAGGTTAGGTAGCCGAAAAAGGTTGGTTAGGTTAGGTTAGGTAGGTTAGGTAGTCGAAAAACAATTAATTCTTGAAAACTTGGCTTATTAGGCAAATTGGGCCTTGCATGGTAGGCTGACAAGTGCGTTCTGGCTATTAGGTACGACATATATATATATATAACGACATATATATATATATATATATATATATATATATATATATATATATATATATATATATATATATATATATATATATATATATATATATATATATATAATGTCGTACCTAATAGCCAGAACGCACTTGTCAGCCTACCATGCAAGGCCCAATTTGCCTAATAAGCCAAGTTTTCAAGAATTAATTGTTTTTCGACTACCTAACCTACCTAACCTAACCTAACCAACCTTTTTCGGCTACCTAACCTAACCTACAAAGATAGGTTAGGTTAGGTTAGGTAGGGTTGGTTAGGTTCGGTCATATATCTACGTTAATTTTAACTCAAATAAAAAAAATTGACCTCATACATAATGAAATGGGAAGATTTATCATTTCATAAGAAAAAAACTAGAGAAAATATATTAATTCAGGAAAACTTGGCTTATTAGGCAAATCGGGCCTTGCATAGTAGGCTGAGAAGTGCGTTCTGGCTACTAGGTACGACATATATATATATATATATATATATATAATGTCGTACCTAATAGCCAGAACGCACTTCTCAGCCTACTATTCAAGGCCCGATTTGCCTAATAAGCCAAGTTTTCATGAATTAATGTTTTTTCGTCTACCTAACCTACCTAACCTAACCTAACCTAGCTTTTTTTGGCTACCTAACCTAACCTTACCTATAAATATAGGTTAGGTTAGGTTAGGTAGGGTTGGTTAGGTTCGGTCATATATCTACGTTAATTTTAACTCCAATAAAAAAAAATTGACTTCATACATAGAGAAAAGGGTTGCTTTATCATTTCATAAGAAAAAAATTATAGTAAATATATTAATTCAGGAAAACTTGGCTTATTAGGCAAATCGGGCCTTGAATAGTAGGCTGAGAAGTGAGTTCTGGCTACTAGGTACGACATATATATATAGAATTGATTTTTCATTTACCATCGACAGTGAAAAGAAACATAAGAAATATTGAGAAAATTCGTGTTAGAATTATTAATCTTACTTTTTCGGTCATATATAATAATAAATATATATACATTGTATATATAATTTATATATTAAAAATATAATATATATTTATATATATAATGTATATATTTATATGTAATATATATATATATATATAATATATAAAAATATATATATATTTCTAAATTCTAGTTTTATCTTTTCGTTATATTAAATTCATAGAGTAAACAAATTACTTTGTGCTGAACACAATTTTATATGTAAAAATGTATGATTTGTATTCATAATGACTATGAATTACATTATGATCAGGTAATTAGCCGGCGTTGCTTGGTGTTCCCACACAAGCTATGAGTTCTTGGCATCCAACGCTGATTTCACCATCACGTTAAACTTGACCCAAATTAGCAATATCACTTTACATGCTCAGAAAGGGATTTCTCGCTCTCGCAAACCCGCGAAAAGAAACTCGACATTCAGCTTAGAAATTCTAAAAAAAAAAAAAAAAATATTAATGCTCAGCTTAAAATCATTCAGCTAAACAGTGACTGCCAAAGGCAAAACTAGCCTATGGGGTGCTCTAGCGCAGCAGTCTGCGTAGTATTTTCACAACCGAAAGGCTCTTGGTTCAGTTCCCGTGACAGGACTGAGACAATTGGAAACGTCAGTTGTTGGCCTAGATCTATCAGGCTTCTTGTCCCCAATAATAGGAAACAGAAGAAATTTGACCTCGGCTTCGTACATCATGTTAACTGGAGGTAAACAGATTACAAAAAGAATAATAGTACTGCGCATCCGGTCTCAAGGGCCGGATGCGCCTCTTTAGAAGTTAACAGAATGATTTATCCAGTTTGGTGAATATTAGTGTGCTGTCAATCCGAGCTTGATAGTGATCTCTAGCGTGCGTGTTCTTTAGGGTGAGGTTGATGCATGTGTGTGCGTGTGACGACCATTAATGTGAAGGAAATCCAAAGGTACAAAACCTGCCGGTGTTGATGTTTAAGTATGTGTGCATGAGATGTTGCCATAGCAACGAATGAAATAATTTGAGGCCGTTTTCTCAGATTCTGTCGTATAGAGAAAACTGTTTTACTTTAGGGCTAACTCGTCTAGTACTACGATTTCAGAGTGAACACACTAACGTTGTGAATCTGATGGAATATTATAGCAATGGGTGAGATGGGACCCCCAGTTCATTATGAGGGATCATGATAGTGTTAGCTCATCTATATTCTCAAAAAATGTTCAGCTAAAATTCCCCATTAAGATGAGTCTAGTAACTGAACTTACCTGAAGGCCAGTATATCTCAATAGTGAAAAAACTATCTCTTGTTTTCTATCCAACATTGTGGCTTGTTGAGGTTGAAGCTGCTGTTCCTTGTTCTCTAGGCATCGCTGGGATTCTCTCTGGGCATCGCTGGGATTCTCTCTGGGCATCGCTGGGATTCTCTCTGGGCATCGCTGGGATTCTCTCTAGGCATTCCCGGGATTATTTCTCTCTAGGCATCCCTAGGATTCTAGGGATGCCTAGTGAGAATCCTAGGAATTCCCGCCCCAGGCAGCCGTAGGGTTCCCGCCCCAGGCAGCCCTAGGGTTCCCGCCCCAGGATGCGTAGAAAATTCTATGGAGAATCCTAGAGATGCCTAGGTATTCCTGGGATTCTCCAGGCATTTTTGGATTTAATATAGGCATCCCTAGGGCATCCTAGGATCCTCTGTAGGCATCGCTGGGATTTTCTGGGTATCCCTAGGATATTCTCTAGACGTCCCTTGTTCCTTTACTTACTCGATTAATATATCCAGTTATAATTTACTTCAAGCTACCTTGCTTTGTGTATTAGACTCGAGGCTATTTACTGTTATTCCCAGTATTTATCCACATTACGGTTGATTCCAGTTCGTTACTTCTAATATCTTTGTCACGTGTAGCGTTTAATTCCCTTGAGGATTCACGTCCCTCCCTTTAGCTTTGACTAGTGATAGGCACTTTGTGTGTTGTCTGCCATTCTGGTTCGCTTTACTGTTGACTACTCTTACAGAAGGATGGCCTTGGGCGCGACGGACGCTATGAGGCCGACACGAAGTATTGTTAACTGAATACTCTACCGACGCTGGCAGGTGCGCCTTACAGTTCCCGGGAGTGCGCTCCCTTTCCTCCTGTGAGCAAGGCCTAATTCCCGATGTCTTCCAGGTGGATGGGAGACCGTCCCCCACCCCGCAGCCTATCATACAGGTAGCTGGCCACGACATCCACAGGCCTGAGCGCATCGTGGATGCTGAAGGTCGCTCTCACAAGAGACGCCCCAGGGGCAGTGACTGTCGTCCACGAAGTAGCGTGTGGCTTATACCCTCAAAATTTAGCCATGCACAGCAAGCAGGCGTTCGGGGTAGAAGCCCCCTACTGCTCAAGAATGATGCACAAGAGGCTCTCTCACACATTCTAAATATAATAGGGGTTTAAGACACTTTGTTCTTAAACATTTTATTATGTAATAAAACACACATCATGGTATATAAAGAAAAAATGGGAATGGACATAAACATCACAAGTGTGGTGTCCTGTGATAGAGATGTGGTTTAACTTGGAGCCAATTCACACAATACTACTATAAAAAAATAAATATAAAATAAAAATTATACAAACTATGTAGCACACTTTACTTAACCTTTATCCTATTATATGAAATATTAAACTCTACTCTTGTGACCTGCAAAATCTCTTCTTAACACTTTAAATGAGTAAGAGTGGTGAAATGTAAGTGTCAAAACATGGTGAAACCGGTGTTCCAAAACAAAACTAATTTAAGGAATGTTAAATTGTCAAAGCAACACTAAACTATTGCTAATGACATGTATGATGCCAATGATTACACTTACACACTGGCCTTTATTGTAACATTTTAGGAGAGAAAAAAAAAACTTATACAAGTCCTGAACTTTACTGTTACCAGTATACAAAACCTATCAGCATAATGAATGGAGTGTTGGAAATGCTGGGTAATAATTCATGGGCCAGATACCTGGGCAACAGTTAACATGAATATGATAATCGATTAATAGTATGTTTAACACATTTAACAAATATACTGGGGTAAAATTTGTTTAAAAATATTTCGGTTTACCCAGAAATGTCATCAATACTGTACTACAAATTACCTCGTGCCAAATATAAATAGCTACAGATAATAAGCCAACATAACCAGAGGAACAGCCTGATGTATGAGTAAAGATGAGTTTTGGTCCTAAATAAATATTACAATAAAGGGCACTTTACAAGAATAATGCTCTGCATCCCAAGGTGGATTTGCAATGTTACATGCGCAGGTATGAATATAGCTATTAAATTTCATCCGGGCAAGCCATTTATTTCATTTACATGTTACATGGCTAAAATTAAAAAAAAAAATCTTAAATATTTAGTCAATAATGGGATCATATAAATAATAAATAGCTGCAGATTATTAAATGCAAGACTATATAAATACAGTATTGGCAAATTCATTGCATCGGCTCGGCCGCAGCCTACAGGCACACTGGCCGAGCTGATGTTCTAAAACCACTACAGAACTAGAGCAACACGCACAATAACTGAGGTAAGGCCATTGTGTAAACCCTCAGCCTGGAGAATGTAACTATATATAAAGGAGGGTATGCTTGACAAGTCAGCTTTTTTACACTTTCAATAGATTTTCTAAAGAGGTGTGTAAATTTCTATCCATCAGAGATTTTTTTTAATAAAGCTGATTCTTGATAGTGTGCTTTTAATGTACCATACAGCAGATGAATTTGCAAATAATATATTTGAAGATTGTGCAGTAAATTAATTTTCATTACATTTCAAATTCATGAAAGTACTTGAACCACAGCATACCGTATAATATGACACTAGTGCACTATTACTCTCGCTAAAATCAATTATGTTGCAGATTAAAACTTAAAATGTCATTGGGCAGTTCCACACAATTTGATGGTCTTTGGCAGTTATATATGTAATGTGTGTTCTCAGAATTTCATTAAATCTTACAAGATAGTTAATTCATACTTTATGAAACCTTTACATGTGATAAGTGCTCTAACACCACATGCAATGCATTAAATGAAATTGCTAATAAAAAAAATCCTAGCAAGCTGAACAAGGTCATTACGTAGAATCCAGTGCCTGCCTTCACACGAAGCTTTGATCACGTTTATTATATAAACTATAAAGAACACCAATTACAGTACAACCATACTTGCTAGAGGGCATTAGAATTGGCATGAAAAACATGTCCAAGACTAGACACGTTTAAATCTGATATCAACCAAATTTTCAAGGACAAAATCTGGAACTAGAAAAACTTAAATCCCTTGTTAGAGATATTCAAGAAATAATTACATTAATCGCAACTATTACTCATTTCATACTTTGACGAGATGGCGATTTACGTTCAATAATCCTGAAGTGAATTGCAGGAGAAAATATTCAGAAAAACTGTAGTATCAAGCGAGTACCATCACACTACTGCTCATATTAATAAACATCAAAAGAAATTATCCATAATACTAACATAATTCACTAAACTACACATGTATAAAGATTTTAAGACTGCTTAAAACTTTTATTGGCATTTGTGAAAGGAGATTGCCAATAGAGTGAATGTTGACAAAATTAATTATGGCGAGAGAAAACGTGCATGTAAACGGAATAGTACCACAAGCTGTTGATTAGTTTAAATACCTGGAATTTGACTGACAAAAAGACAAATTTGTACAACTTGATGATAATGAGTGGAAAGAAGTGGGTGGTGCAATGCAATTCCTGATTAGCAGCTAGAGAGATATGGTTAATGAGATACCTAGTTAAAAGATAAACACTTGAAACCATAAAAACAGACATTAATGAAAAGTACAGTAATTATCAGGAGGAGGGACATTATGAAAAGCATGTGTGGTGTTAGAGTAATGGAATATAAATGGCAAGAAAAGGTGCCTACTGTAAAAGCTAGAAATTCACAAGATCGAGAGTAAGAGATACTTTGGTCATGCTGCTGAATGGACGTAATTAGACTGATGGAGTGTTTAGGATGAGCAGATTTATAAGTGACAGATAATGGTGACTGAACACAAAAGAGAAGGGGGGAGGGGAAGGAAGAGGCAATTTTGTAAAATGTGAAAGTGTTCAGTTTGAAAATTTCATTTGCACATACTAATTTTCTGCAGCCCTATGCTTCACCAGAAGAAAAATGGGAATGATAATGATATACAAAAATATTTAATTACATAAAACTGTAGAATCAGTTACTGTACTTATATCCATTACAATACCACACTGTATTCAATACAGTAGTACATTCATTAAACATTTGAAATTTCACACCATGTTATCTATTTACTAAGCACTTGCCACTTCACACACATGAAAACTTGTACATTTGTAATTTAATGTAAAATGATGGTTAAAAGTTGGCACACCAAGGTTCGAGTCAAAGATAACTACAAAGCTGTATCTTTGATTGAATTCTTATCAGCATAGCTTTCTATTTTCTCCAATGTATGAAACAAGATTCATTATTATTAAAGATGTCTTATTGAAATTGCTGACATTTTCACCAATCATTAGAGCAGAATAAGTCTGAAAAAAATCCATTGTTCTTCTTGTGAAGCTGTTCCAATAGAACATGATACCCTCCCTTCAGCTTCACAATATGGACTTTGCAAGCTTCAATTATGAATTCCCAAGCTAGACCTGAACTGATTAGGAATAACATGAGATTGGACAACTGAGACTGTTCTGCCATTATGTTACACCAAAGCCATTAATTATGGCTGGTACACAGCCAAGAAGTTTATATAACCCCATCTATGGTACAATATTAAACAAAAGCCTAGATATCATTCAGGATACCAGTACAAGAGCACTAACCCAATATGCTATATAGAACTACTGTATACATAACAAAGATGAGTCAAAACCTGGTAATGTCACTAGTTTCTATAACGAGGGGGAAGGGGGTGTTAAACTGATCCATGTTGATGGGATCATTCACTAAAGATTTTATCAAGTGGCATTAGATGTGAAAGACACATCCGGGCAGTAAAGTTTCTCATCCTGAAAACCAACACAATACCAGATATGTTGACCAAACCACACACTAGAAAGTGAAGGGACGACGACGTTTCGGTCCATCTTGGACCATTCTCAAGTCGATTGCGACTCCTCGATTGTAACTACACGGTAGTCCAGCCACGTTATTGTGACTCCTCGTCTGCACATCAATACCAGATATATAATAACGCACCATGATAGTTTTGACATTAAGGGACAGTTTTCCATTCTATCAAATGGCCATGAGAACTTTCCAATTTAATATGTCAAAGGCTAAATACAAGATGTATAAGTTAGCTAAACATGCAACATTTTATGGCATTTGAGAGGTATGGTACTCAGTAGCTTAACTGAATAATTCAAATTAGTGTATTTGGAGATCTTATGCTAGAAATAATTTTGCATTTTACTTGGCAATAGTCTAAATAAGAACTGAACCTTTTTGTTCTCTCAAAACTAGGGAATATCACTCTGTATATGCATAATCTTGGACTTAAGAAGTATTGAATCTTTCATGCTTACATTCACCTTCTTTGTGAAAGTAGTTTCAAGACACTAAATTACACCAATTCAGGATAGATTATGGAGGTCATTTCAGCAAAGTAATAGTACACCAATCTACCCCAAGCTCTCCAAAAGAGCAACTTGCTTCACAAGCAAAACAATGGTAAAGTGTTCAAACTTACCTCTATGGATACAATTGGTGACTGATCAACTTGCTGAGGAAGTATAATCAATATCATGACGTAACTTGCTAGCTCACTATCTCCAAGCTAATGTTTGGATAGGCTCCAAGATGGATGAAACAGTAATTGCTGGCTATTAACTTACTTGGTTAGCCAAAATAATGAACAACAAGAAATTAACAATACACAGGGAAAAAAAATAATATACATACAATACAGTAAAATCAGAGGTCTTTGAGTGTGCCTGTGATTGGCTGTACAGTGAGAAGAAGCTCACAGGTATCTTCACTACACAACCATGCAGGTATACATTTTATTAACACAATTGTATGGTCACTAAAAATATTTGAAACTTCTCAAATCTACTGTACAGTACTAATATGATCCAAACCTTAAATTTGCTCATACATACATATGTATATGCAAATTCGTCAATATACATGGGTTTATTATATCAATGTATACTAGAAAAATATACTAAAGACGGACTCCAAATGTACAAAACAATTCTTCATAACTTAGAACAGGCACTATAAAAAGTGCAAATTAGCTTCAACAAAAAGGTACAATATGTACACAAGGGGCCTGAGGCAATTCAACATTCTAAAAGCAACTACAAGAGGGATTACAGATTGGCTTCTGAATGTCTTAAAGTGGGACCTTCACAAGATCTTTCATGGTTCTTTGTCAGACTTTAAGGTCTAAGGTTCTCTTGAACAACCACAATAAATAGTATGGTAAACCAGAGCCAACTAAAGTTAGGATCTTACCTAAGTGGGTCCCAGACTCCTCTTACGGTAAACTCAAGATCACAATAAATCATTAAAATTCATTTTGATCAGTTTTAGGCAAGTGTTGTACATATAAATACAAATTGATAAGATTTATATCAATCTAGAAATGTTTAAGACAACACCAAATGTAATTAGTGAATGAAACACTCATTGTCTAATCAAATCCATGTAACCAGTGTTGTTAAGTGATCACATCCATTGATTTAATTCATATTGGTACTTTTTTCTTCAGATTGGAAAAAAAAAAAAAAAGGTTTCCCTCCTTGGGTGTGAATGCAATTTGGCCCTAGATTCAACAACTTTATATTTTTATGCATGAAAAAGGATTTTCCCCTGTGAGGATATTTGAGGCAGAAAAAAAGTTGTAGGATATATCATTTCATAAAGAATTTCTCTGAACATACCAGTGTGTGTGAAAACACCTATGAGTGGAAGTTGCTGTGCAGACCTAACTTCACACTTAGGAGTGCAGGCCACAGCCTGAAGATCAACAGCCTTATTATTAATTAAATTACTGAAGTTCAAAATTTCACACCTCAATCATCAAACCTTTAAAAAAAAATATTGTAATAAAATAATTTAATATAAAAAAATTCTGCAAGATGGATAGTCTAAAGAAGAAAAAAAAAGGGGAGGAAATACTGCTTTTCAATATGCCAGAATTCAATGTAAAACACATTTCTTTTGTATTTATTTATTCAAAGATTTTGCTTTAAATATTTTAGTTACTGTCAATTACTTTTGTCATAAATAACATACAGAAATGTCTAGCAGACATTGTGAGTCGTTTCAATTATCTTGACCACTTGGAAGTGAAGCAGAACAAAGTAACTGTTTACTTATATTCTGGAATTCACCACCTTGTATTAATGAAGAACTACAGAATGCTTTCAGAAACTACATGAAATAAGTCATGTCTCAGGATCTCGGATATATCAAGATCAAGAGCTCAAGATATCTTGGAACCGATTTTAAACAAAAATGATCAAACTTGATACCAGTACTCTTATTACAATATTACAATTGTAAAATACCCCCATTTGAAGTTTTCTTTGTGCTTTAAATGTGCATAAGTCAATACATTATTCAATCTATGGTTCATCCTCCTGTATGACTAGAAACTGCTCATATGTCTCTTGATGCATTCAATTTATGACACTTTTATTCTATAAAAAAACAAAAAAAATATTACAGGTATAATATTGATCAGTATCAGACAAAAATTTTCTCTCTGGACACTGCTTACTTGAATAGCCGTTTCTTGTTTTTGGGTTGTGCGATTAAAGCTTTGCATAAGGTTTTAAAATCAAAGGCGAGGCAATCAAATGGAAGGTGGCAACCCTAAGCATAACACAAGTGCCTCTTGCACAGGTAACCCCCACAGACAACAGATTCACCAACTACAGTTTATGTTGGATACTGGCTCGGCACTGGAGCATTCATTACTGAGAAAATTGCCTAAATTTTCTAACATCCTTCCGTATCAGCTACAAATGTAGGGAATGTGTAGGATGGCTTCAAAAGTAATAACTCCAAGAGTGTTCAGTGATGACTTAAGAAAAAAAAAGGTAACAAATTCCAGAGCAGCATCCCAAATAGTTGTGTATACAGAGTACCAAAGAAGCAAGACAACACATGGTCTGGCTTACTGCTCGTAGAAAGCCAGAGAATTTCGCAAATCGCAGAACATTACTGAGCAATGTACAGTGTATGGATGAATGATTCAAGAGCTTCAAAAACCAAGTACAGTAATAAAGTACATTCCAATACACAGACAGGCAACCAGCTGATACAACTGAAAAAGAGGATCATTTGTGTAAATTTGCGGAGATTGTGCAGGACCAGAAACGTTATCACAAGAGCATGTTTATAATGATGAGCCAAGTTTCTACTGGAGTATGTTGCACAATATGGTTCCTCAATGGCAAAATTCTGGTGGTTACAAGCACAACAAAGAGGGGTAACAGTTTAACTGTGTTATACTGTGCAAATGCAAATTTGTGATGGATTAGAAAAACTAAGGGTTTTCAGAGGTACCACCACATGCCTCCATGTTTATAATACCCAGCAAAATGCATGGATGTCTTAAGTAAAAATTACTGAATGGCTTAATAAGAACTTCATGTCAGAGATGAAGGAGCATCTAAGTGTTGAACTGCCACAGAACAGCAAAACTGAGCTGTTTAACAGCTTAATTCATTTACTACAGGACATTCATGAATGCAAATAAAATTGGTAAATTGTTTACCCCTAATATATCTTTGATTCAAGCCATGGATCAAGACATTAAGAACCTCAAGCACCACTATTCAGACATCTTATAACAGCCATCGACTAAGTAGACCTAACAGTAATATTGTAAACTATTTTTTGCTTACCTCTCATCTCCTTCCAAAACAAGATGAGGCAAATTTAAAAGGATATGAAGACTTTGCCAGAATATGCAAGTATTTTTGTTAACAATGACTTTGTTGTTGAAATAAGCAAGTGGATACTGATGAACAAGCCCTTACTTCCCAAAATGTAACAACAATTAGTGGAAGAAAAAGATAAGGAATAGAAACAGAAATATGAAAGCATAACAAAATTGAAAATATATTTTTAAGACCTTAAGGAAGAGTGATTTTAACACTAGGGAGATGAAAATTTACAAATTATATGTGCAGGTTTTCAACACTAGAACACAGGGTATAAATCAACTTTAAATAGGGGTTTTTGTAAGGGTTGCTAAGAAACACTGCATCAAACCACTGGCACTCAATTCATCACACAACCCAACAACTTCGACAGCTGAAAGAAGCTCATCATCTTCAATCTCCACTTCAGACAATACCAATATCCATCACACATACAGTACACTCTAAACAATTGTGCAGCATCAACAATAGTTTAACTTCACATATTGGTTAGAACAAACTACAACATTTTGACTTGGTTTCTCTCTGAATTTCCAGGATGACAATACAGGCGTTCCAGCGTAATATTACATTTTTGGCTGGGGTCCAGAAAGGAAATTGCTGTCTAGTATACTTTATGTATACTAGAATGTATTTTTAGTTTACTTCATTATTAGGAATCGTTCACAGAGATATTTAAAAATTGTGTATGTAGAAGAAAAACTTTAGTGTTAAGAGTTCATGCCCTAAGATTTGAAAAAGGAAATACTACAAGTGCTAACAGTGCTATCAACATCCTAAACTTTTATCAAGTTTATCAAATATAAAGTTATGAGACCTGGTATTTATTCTGGTGGTACAGCTGACAACTTCTGCACTGGGCCACTTATTCTACTTTTAAGTGAGCTACCCATTAATCAAATTTATACTAGATATTTCTGAACAACACAAGTTATTCAATGTCAGATCATTCAATTATACCTGCTCAACACGCACGAGTATGTATAAAATTGAGCAGATTTAAACGATCAGCTAATGGATTCAATTTGAGATACACTTACTAATACCAAAAATGGGTAAATTAAAACAGATAAGGTTAGCAAACAGATAACTAAGCTTATAAAACTGCCTAATGATTAATGCCTTGTGCTTCCTACTCTAGTAACAAAACCCCATCACATGTACGCTGCAAGACACTGCATAGTGCGTAACTGTGTTTACTTGGAAAGTCCCACCAGTAACAAAGTTAACCATAATTCATATTAAACCTTATTGACATCTATACAACAATGCAATCTACTGCTTATAAATAATGGAAAAAAATGCCTTACAATCTTCCATGCTTCAAATGTGCTCACCATGTAATACATCATCAATAGAGGCAATGATAAGAATAGGATAAAATTCATGACCTCTTTACCATACAAGAAAGATTTCAGTTTCAAATGGGACTCATTGTAACAAATATTCCATGGCATCTTCTTTTCAAACCAGTGTCTAATGTTCTGAAGCTGGGGGTACTATCCTAAAAAAATACCAGCGATATCCAAAGATTTAGCTAAACACTTTCATTTCAGATACAGTTCATTTCCATCAATATTTCCAGTATTTTCAGGACAAAACATGCCTTAAAAACATGATCCAATACTGTAGAATAAAATGCTGATAACTGTCATATTTAACGAGCCTCAACACTGGTCATTACATGCACACCGATTCTCAAACTTGGACATTGCAGTGGCAATAGGGAACACAACTTTGTCAGTACACATGGGTAAAAAATGTCATTACAGCAGGCTCTCACTATTCACAAAATACACATTCACTCAACGCCCGCAAGTGGTTGAATGGCAAATGCCGATGTGAAGGTCATACGAGAAAGCAGGGAAAAGGTTTCTGACAAAAATTACCACATTTGAAATATAATCAAGTAAAAAATGCAACTATTTATGTGGCCTAGGGCTTTGTGGTGTTGACCTTAGAAGGTGATTTGATTCCATAAACAGGTGACTTAACACTGGGATTATGATGCAGATGAAATTATAACATGGTGGCTATAATCAAGACCGCAGTCCCACTTATCCCAGAATTTTGATGCATCACCTAATGAGGTTTCTTTTTCTAACATTTAGTCAATTCTGCTGGCTACAAATAGCCCAAACCCTAAATGGCAAGAGTCTGCTGTATCCATAAATGGCAAGAGTCTGCTGTATCCATAAATGACAAGTCTGCTGTATAATCCATCAGTAACAACCCTAACCCTAGATAACATGTTAGACACTTTTCATTAAGGGTTAATAATCAGCTCCTGATGCACTATAATTTAAATTTGCCATACAATATCTGTATACATCTTAGCAATTTAATTACCTAAGAGACAACTGAAGATTAAAAGAAATCGTATTTAATGTAGGTGATGTATAGAGCCCAGGCAAGCACAATCCAGTGGCAGGAGTAAAGTGGATTCTCGCCAACAGCATACTTACGAGAAAGGAACTTGAATGTTTCATCGATAATAATAACGGGGAAGGATATTTGTAACACGGCGATCCATTGTGCTACAGAGAGGGGCCGTACTTGGAACACCACCTGTATAAAAGATAAGGATCAAAAAGTTATAAAACAATTAAGTAGTCTAATAGCATTAAAATGAAGTGAAACTTATATTTCGGCATTTTTATCTAGATATAAATGAGATTTTAAAACAGCAGTTTATTAACTATACCTGAACCCCTATTTTACGTGTATTTGTCAATACAGTACAGTTAATACAAAAATTCACTGAATCTCAAAGGATTTAAAATTACACGTATAGTAATTTTATCCTTACAACCAGAAATCCGAAAAGCACGATAATGTCACTGAAAGGCACTGCGTCCAATCAGTCACTGTTTACTTTCTAAGTTTGTGCACCGTAACCCAGGGCATGTTATTACAACATTTCAATGTCATCTGGCTTTCTTGAGAGAACATTTTTTCAGTGATGAGGATCATTATACACAGGTAAGTGTTACAAAGTTTAGGAATATTTATCTTTAATGCCACAATGCAAAGGTAGTCTCATTTAAATTTGCCAATGCAAGGAAAAAAAATAACTATAGGACTATTGTTTCCATTGTGATGGTTTGGCACAACGTTGTGCTTGGAAGCCAAGTTTTCAACCACCAGTCACTACACTGTACTTTAAAATATGCTTTTGCATATAGTAAATATGGGAACTTTAGGTATGTTATATTAAGTATAGTTATGGTATGTATGCAAACTTTCTTTACATATCAGTTATTTGAACACTGCAAATATACTGTCACCTCCAAAAACAAGACCTCTATAAAATGAACCCATTTAAATAACATTTACCAATGGTTGCCCAATACAAACTTTATTTTACACTTAAGAGATTCCTTACGTAATAAAAATAAACCCACTATTAAATGTAATGAAACGTCCCTTTCTGGTAGAGCCCTCTGGGGCTCTTTCTAGAGGTAGAAAGAATGATCACAGTCACATAGCAAAGATGAACACCCATCAAGCTTGCACTTGGAGAGCACAGGCTTGACAGGCCAATCTATAACAAGACCACACCAGAAACCTGTGACAGGATTACTAGGGCCTGAAGGTAGCTAACCAAGCAGAAACTTCAGGCACTCGGGCCACCGGCCAGAAGAACAGTCACTAAATGCAGCCAAACAACCAGCCTATGAAAGACAACTGTAGCACACTATATAAATATACACATGGACACCCAGCACACTCCAGCATAACTAATAAGAAAATACCCCCCCTCCCCGAGTCAAGGACCCAAACAGAGGAGCCAAAGACCTGTGACTAACCCAAGGTGAGGTCCTCCACTCTAGTGGCCTGGCCCCTCAGGTGAATACACCAAAGACGATACCTGTCATTGCAGAGGGAGTGCTAGCAGGCATCCAGGAAAGCCTTAGAGGCATATGGCCTGAATTGCATCAAAAAACCAACGTCACACAAGCTCGAGATAAAACAAGCACGTGAAGCTAATACTAAAATCAAAGAATGCAAATGCAAATAGCCCCCTGCAGGATGAATAAAGTCCAAGGATGATCAGCATTTGGCAAGTCTCACTCCTTCAAGCTCACGACTGGGTGACTGGAGCACTAGTGGTAGAATCTTCCACCATAACACCAGCAACAGAACTGACCAGGGAAGCCAGCTGTGAGCAGAGGCCAGGCTGCCTGGTGGTGCCAATTGGTATTGACCCTAAACAACAACAACCCATGATTGATGTGACCTTATAATATGGGGTAATCTCAGCAAAATACCTTGAGGGGAGCCATGGGGGAGGGGGGGCTCCCCCAGAAATCCTTTGTTTCTTTCAATCCCCACATACTACTAAATGTCTTTTCATCAATTTCTAAAAATAAATCTTATTAATTCAACAAAAGCATAAGAATTACAGAAAAGAATTAAGGAAATTGTAGAAAGCCTATTGGCCCATATGTGGCAGCTCTTATTTATATCCATTCAAGCTAGTTCATATATATAACCTATGATTGGAATTACCAAGTTATCACACATTTATTATGTTACCTGGTAATGTTCCACACTTGAACAACCCTATTTCCAAACCTGTATTTACTCAAGTCCTTCCTATATCTAAATCTTACTTAAACTTTCATTTTATATGCAAGTTATATCACTCCTATTAACTGCTACTCAACTCTTATAACTTACCGCAAAAATTTCGAAGTACAAGATGAAGAAATGGAGTATCATGGACAAGGCCATTGCAGCCAACAACCACAAGTTATACCAGGGAGGCATTACAAGCAGCGACTGGTTCTCAGACAAGCTGAAAGGAAATAAAACATTTACGAGATGCTCCATATTATGCCAGAAACTAGTGACTATATAACATGTTCTTGACATATAAATTCAACAAATTTTGTTCTACAGAGCCCAGACACACCATTATAGTATATATACAAACTGATTAACTAAGGACATGCCTACTAATGGCTCAGGTTCATCTTTAAACCACCACATGCCTGCTGGAAACTTCTTGTTCTTACGAGGTTATCTTCAGGTTATCTTCAGCTCCCATCCCATCTTCAATCCCATCTAATACTTCTGGCTTACATTAACATTATTTCAACATAATATATGAAGTATTATACACTGTAACAACTATCAAAGTAATCACCAATAGAAGGCACTAAGCTGCAGAGAATATGTAGCAGCTATCAGTTAAAAGTTTGGATTTAGAAAAAAATGAAGAATTGTCTTAACAGGAATATACCAGAGGAAAATCGATGTAGGATAAAACAGAAAAAGCAGGAAATAGAGTGACAATGGCACCTTGTTAGGTATTAAATGCCAATGAAGAGTGGTAGACCAAACCATGTTGCAGTGTGAATGTAGTAAAAAAAAAAAAAAAATAGGGTATGAAAAGTCTTCTGCCATTTTCTCATAAATACACTACTTCTGTAAGACCTTAAGTTCATTACCTTACTACCTAAAGGAAAGTTAAGAGGAAATACTAGTAACAGTAGAATGAGAGTATTACACAAGTGTAGGATGTGCAACATCCCAAAACTTGGGTAGCTATTGCCTTCTTAATTAACACGTGGAAACATGTAAACAACTTGCAAGAAGTGGAATAAACAGGACTGGATAGCAGTAGTTAGGAGGGAATGACTAATAACAATATGATTAATCAACACAAGTACTTTACTACTTCTCTTCACTTCTATGAAATGACAAACTATTGTGAATGTTTTGTCTAGTGCATAGTAATATACTAATTTCCTGCTATTCTTATGAGTGGACAAACATACACGTACCTGCCTGCATACACGCAGAAACAAGGCTATATATGTGTCATTGGCTACCAAACAAGCATGTGTGTGATTACACAATTGTGCTCAAATATATATACTGTATACAGTATATATATTCTCACTAACACAAGTATACAAGTATATTAACCCATGCAGATGTTCACAGTCACACTAGCTCACACGCTCATTGACACACACTCCAATATCCTAAGTGACCACAGAAGGCTAAATTATGGTGATTATGGTGGTGGTTTGTCAGCAGTGCTTTGGGAAAAGTAGTCACTCGGTGCAATTCAGTTTGTACATCTACTACCAATGTGTCTGGGTTAAATTTAGAATCTACAACCCAGATTTATAGCATTAAAAAGAATTCAATTACATATTTATTATATTTGTTTGAGACGGATACATTATTCATTACATAAATAGTTATATGCAAACAAAAATTTACTGTACATAATTTTTTTTAAATAATTTACCTGTTAAGAGCATTCAGCATCTCGATGGTGACCAGTACTGAGAGGGCCATTGTCATAGGAGCAGGATTGCTAAATATGCTACAGTCCAATCCTTCAAAGTTTTCTGGATCACTTAAACAGGAGAGATGGTGTGACATCTGGTAATAGGTGATCTGAGGTCCAGTTAAGTCATACATAAACCACCAAGATGCAGCAAAAACAGTGGCAACTCCTACATAACAACCAATGGCCATGTACCTGAAGAAAAGCCAACCAGAGATAAGGGACTCGTCACCCCTGCGTGGGGGTCTGTCCATGATGTCTAGATCAGGAGGGTTGAAGCCCAGGGCAGTGGCAGGTGGACCATCAGTTACCAGGTTGACCCAAAGAAGCTGGACAGGAATAAGAGCTTCAGGAAGACCAAGGGCAGCAGTTAAAAAGATGGATACAACTTCACCAATGTTAGAGGATATCAAGTAGCGGATGAATTGTTTCATGTTGTTGTAAATAGCACGCCCTTCTTCAACGGCAGCCACAATGGTGGAGAAGTTGTCATCGGCGAGCACCATATCGGAGGCAGACTTGGCCACAGCTGTACCAGATCCCATAGCAATGCCAATTTCAGCTTTCTTCAGGGCAGGTGCATCATTCACACCATCACCTGTCATGGCTGAGATCTCATTCTCTCCTTGAAGATATTCAACAATCTTTGACTTATGGAAGGGCTCTACACGAGAGAAAAGTTGAGCTCGCATACAGGCTGCCCTCTGTTCTGTTACACTAAGTTCATCAAATTCTCGACCTGAGTACGAAAGACCATTCAAGTTCTCATTTTCACCAAAAACTCCAATGCGACGGCATATAGCTTCAGCTGTCGCTTTGTTATCTCCTGTGATGACGATAACACGAATACCAGCAGCACGGCACCTGCGAATGGCATCTCTAACTTCTTTGCGAGGAGGATCAAGCATACCCACAACACCAACAAAGGTCATGTTTACCTCATAAGTGTGGAACTTGGTTGCATCAACAAGATCCATCTGGTGAACTGGCGATGGGTTGTCAATTGTGGCTAAAGCTAAACAGCGGAGTGTATCACGCCCTCCTCCATAAGCACGGGTTACTGCCAAAATCTTATCTTTCACACTAGGGGAAAGGGGAAACTTCTGACTGCCAACTCGAACGTGGGTACAGCGATCAAGTATACTCTCAGGAGCTCCTTTGCAGAACATTTTTGGTCCCGTTCCGAGGCGTGTAGGTTTGGTAGGAGAACAGTAGGATGACATAGATTTGCGATCTCTCGAGAATTCAAGAGTAAATTCCTTTCTCCATTTTGATTCCATATCATGTTTACAAATGAGTGCAGCTGAACGGCGATCAATTCCAAATTTAGACAATGAGTAAGGATTGATCTTTTCCGACATAACTATTAGAGCAGTCTCGGTTGCTTCACCAACCTTTTCGAACACATTTTTGAATTCGTTGTAATCAACAGACGAGTCATTACACATGCAAGATATAGTAGCCAACTCCTCCAATCCTTCGAAGTCAGAACCCTTTACTTTAGAACCACTCAAGTATATGTCTCCAATAGGCTCATAAGTAGAACCACTAATTTCAAACTCGAGGAGAGAACAGTCATTTCCTACAATTTTGTCCATGATGAACATACGAGAGACAGACATCTGGTTGGTGGTGAGCGTGCCGGTTTTATCAGAGCAGATGACAGAAGTACAGCCCAGAGTTTCAACAGAGGGAAGAGACCTAACAATGGCATTCTTCTTAGCCATACGACGGGTACCCAGAGCCAAACAAGTAGTAATAACAGCGGGAAGGCCTTCAGGAATAGCAGCTACAGCCAAGGCAACAGCAATCTTGAAATAATAAATAGCACCCTTAAACCAGGAACCACCATGAGCAGGGTCATTGAAATGTCCAATGTTGATAGCCCAGACAGCAACACAGATGACAGATATAACCTTGGACAACTGCTCACCAAACTCATCAAGCTTCTGTTGTAGAGGAGTCTTGATATCCTCAGTCTCTGCCATCTGGGTACGAATTTTACCTGTAACAACAAAAGGAACTGAAATCTTGAACTTGTAATACTTAAAAAAAATTATGAAATAAAGTAAAATAAAATTCATAAGAATTATTTAAACAAAATCTATATCAAGTAATTCATAACCTGGAATATGTGAACTACAGAAAATTCATTCATTAACCCTTAAGCTGCCAAGGTGTCCTTAAGGAATGTACACCCCCATGCGCAAGAAAAAAAATTCTGAAATTTTTTCGTCTTCTAAAAATGTTCATGTGTGATTCCTGACCACGGGGAAAATATAAAAAAAATCGTAGGCAACATATTTTGGCCGCAATAGGCCGAGGAAGTCTGGCAAAATGTAGGCGTTGACAGAGCAAGCGTCGGAAGCAGTCAACTCCACCCAAGGTGTCGGGTGGGAGTTGCCAAAGATGATATTACCTAATTATTTCAATGTCTGATTTTTTCCTCTTTTTGGCAGTAATATCATTCAATAGTGTAGTGTGATATATTTATATAATAAAAGGGGTGAATTATCGCTATACTCAAAAGTATGGTGTGCATATTAGTGATTCAATTATGTTGTTCATAAAACAATAAACAAATAGTTTTGCTGTCATTACACTACCACACTACCAGTATATACACAGGTCATATTCAAGTATCTGCGTGTTTTGTTCACCATAACAAACCACTAAGTTGGTATGGCGAGTCAAAACACCGAGTGGACTGCCACACCCCAGCCAGCAAACGCCACCGCTTTCCCTCCCTTAACACCTGACTTGCCAACATATTCCTCCTCCCACCATACTGTTTTTGCTTTTATTTACTATATACAGGCGTTATATATTAAGTATCTACACGTTTTGTTCACCATAACTGTACACCTAAGCTGGCATGGTGAGTTCAGGCAATAAGAGATGTAACTACACACACAGTCAGCTGTCCCCCCTCACTGGTTCAAGGCCAGACGCACTAACATTTCTTTTCCAAGAACACTGTTTGTGGTGTTATTACACTATATATACACACACATTATATATAAGTATCTGCATGTTTTATTCACCATACTGTACAACTAAGCTGGTATGATGCCCAAACAGCATAGTGGTCACTCTACACTGCATGGCAGCATCATGCAGACGACACCACCTCCCTCACTTAAATGCATCCTCCCAACATACTCCTTTTGCTGTTATTACACTAATACACACATTATATATATGTACTATATCTACATTTGTGTTCACCATAGCAAACCACTAAGCTGGTATGGTGAGTGCAGGCAACAGGTGGCCACACAGATTCAGCAGACAACACTACCTCCTTCCCTCCCTCCCTCAGCATTACCCCTCCTACACAGTGCTAATTATCACAACAATTTTGCTATTATCACAATCCTGGTCATTTTTATCACAGTCAAGGGTCTTCTGTAATACTATCATTGCTAAATAATAGCAGTTACATATTTATTTTGACATTTTTAGGCAATGCTGTAGTCACAAGTTGAACAGCAAGCTCATACTGCATGCACCAGCCTCGGTTGCTCTCACAATACTGTGGCTCTCACACCAGAGAATGTTGCCCACGATTTTTTTTTTAAAATAGTGTCTGTTTACAAGAGCCCTCAGGAAGCTGATGCGAATGCTGAGTAACTGCGGGCCATTTGAATCGTGCCTGGCACCCTACGTTGTATATGTATGGCATGCACACTGTGGAATACGTTACTCCGGTCGTATGTGTACGCCATGTGCACAGTGGGATATGTTACTCCAGTCATATATATATATGCCATGCGCAGTTTAAGGGTTAAAGTCAGGTAAAACAAAGGTTAAAGCATCTATTAAGAGGAATTAATTAACAATTTCATAAACAATAAATACAACACACAGCAATTCACACCAGGAATTGTACAATGAACAAAATATATCACCAACCAATGAGAGAAAACTTTCAAACTAATAGCTAAAATATTTAATAAAATATTTCACTGATATAGGAATGTGAGAAATATTTCACTGATATAGAAGAATGTGAAAAATGGCTATCCTCCTGGTGGGGCATCGTTGTGCAGCTCTTGTCTTTGCACTCACACTTCAGGCTCATGGTCACGCACTCTCACAACAATATTCTACATGTTAACATTAACATTTCCAAAACTACAACAATATGTAACTATAGCTCCAATACTTTTACTCTCTCCCAGGGATTCCACATAAGGGTTGGCCTCTTCAGAGGTTCATTCAGGAGGCTCTTTATCACTTCACTAACCTTCTAATTTTATAAAGCCCTCTTAACTCCTTCCCCTGGCTTTCCCAATCTTAAACGCAATCATAATAAATCATAGAACAGGTATTCCCATATCCCACAAAATAAAAAAAAAATTTAATAAACTCCCCAGCAGCAATAACCAATTAGTAATACAGAAAATCATTGCTATTTTCCACAGCTATCCAGTTTGATATACTTTAGGGCAAACAGATTGGAAACTTTAACAAATATAATTCTGTATTTATGAAACTTCACATGTAAGTGCAATACTTACCAATAGCAGTTAAAAGTCCCGTGCCTATAACAATGCCCACAGCCTTGCCTGCTGCAACATTGGTGCCCGAGAAAAGAATATTCTTCTTGTCCTGAAAGAAAAATGTTTTATGATATGCAGTCACCCCAAATTAATTGACTTATGAAGATACTTTTTTTAATTACTACGCAGTATATGAGTATAAATTAGTCAGATGGAAGATGTGCAAAAAAAAGCACGATACAATTGCACATTACAAATTATACAAATAAGTGAAAAATGTCAATGCAAGCGTGGCTCTACACACCTGCTCTAACTTAGATTCCATATACAACTTTTTTTTTTTTACAAGCCTCAGGCTCAAATTCTGCTCAAGTTATGCAATAAAAATTCAAAAATTTTGCACAAAAAGGAAAACATACAAATATCTGTAATCAAAGGGTAGTAAGCATGCCAAAAGAAAAAGCATAAATCCCCCAACTTGATCAGATAAGGATTAATTTAACATTAACATGTTAGGAATGTTGCCAAACAGCTGATGCTTTTACATAACTTATCCTCACGGTTAAGGCTATAAATATGCAAGTACACACGCATGAATATCTGTTACTAACATGTATGCCAATGTTTATGTCAATGTGTAAACACGCATGCTGTATGTGTACATGTGCATGTTTTGTGTGTCCGTGCACGTGTATTTGTCTAATTATATTTCAGGGGAAGTTGCTACAACTCTTGGACCCTGCTGTTTTATTGTTCATCAATGTGTGATGCCTAATTCAATGGGTTTTGTCATATAGAATCTACATTTGAATTCATGTATGGAGTTTGATTCTACCACCTCTTATACTAGTGCCTCTCTCTGCACATCCTATCAATGCCTCTTAATTAAGTCCTGACTATGTCCTTCTCAGTCTTCATTTCTTAGGGTTGTATCAGAGAAGAACTGAAAAGCATGTTAATTTAAAGCATGATATGAATGAAAGTAGTACATTTAATTTGATATATCCAAATGATGCAATTCTTAAATAGAAAATTATTTGAGCAAAAACTGCTAAAAGTGAATGTAGATAAAGTAACAGAAAATGAAACAAGTGTGTGAAAGAGAGAGATGAAGATTTTCTAAAAGTATTAATGGTTTAAATATCAAGGTGCTTTATTAGAAATGCATTTATACATATATAAAAAAAAGTGTTAAATTGCTGGTACAAATGAACATTGGGTCAAGAAGAACATGATAAGGAAAGATGTGACAATGGCTGCATGAAAGGGGTAGTGCCTATCCTTACATATAATGTTTAGCTAGCTGGGCATACTGCTCCTCTTGGTAATACTTTATTACCCTTGGGTATGCATTCGTGGAAAAAATGTAAATCTTGAGATTCATTCGTGGTGTTAAGCAAAAATACGGGAAGATTTGGCAAGAGGATAAATAAATAGCAAACTGCTCAAAGGGGTGGAGAAAGTGTCTAGGTGGATTCAGTTTATGATGAAGTGATTGTTTATCAAATCAGATGACACATTTGAGCTCAGGGTTTGTAAACAATGACATCAAATTAGTAACAAAATTATAATAATCATTACTGATTCATGACGAGATGTCTTACATTCCCCCCCCCCCACGTTGAGTTCAAAATTTTGAACAGAACCAAGTGTGCTTTAGAAGAACTGGATACCTCATTGAAGAAAACAAAATATTAAGACATCCTACATAAAAACTTAGGTACACCAAGTACCTAAAACTCAATCAGTGAAGGAGAAGATGAGGGTGGGGAATGGGTGGGTCCAGGAATAGGTTAGGGTGGGACGAGCTGAGTCGAGTTGGGTGCGGGCGGGGCAGGGCTAGGAGAGATGAATAATCCCCTATTCTTAACTGCTCACCCATATTCATCCAGCAACAACTGAAGGCTAGGTTGTAAGCATAGTAGCAGATTGTGATTCAGGAAAAATAAATTGTGCAAGTCTTTATGCAAGCTGTGGGAGGGAGAGCTCTAGGCTAACATGTACGCACCTGTGTATACAAAAAATGTAACCGAAGTATCAGCTGAAATTTGACCGATAATGATCTTAAAAAAAAAAAATAGGCCACCATCATCTGTACTGCTACATCAGTAAACCTCTAATATAAAGTTAACTTTACACTGTACAAGGTTTTCCAAGAAGAAACCTGCCATTCCTTACTCCTATCAATAGCAGGCTATCTTCTTTATTTCAAGAACCTTGCAAAATAAAGATTTTCATTATGCAGTTTTAATATATCTCCATGAACATATCACTATCTAAAGCTACACCCTACATGTCCGCAGATCTGGAAATAATACTGAAACTAGTAAGCAAAAAATAAATACCACCAAGTTAATAGAGGTTCAATTTAGAGACCATTGACTTTTCCATCATCGTACTTATGAAAACGAAATTTTTGTTCCCAAAACTTCATTTACACCCACTTCAATGGGTCCTAAAATAAATTCTGCTAGTTACCCCACGACTTCTCCAATAAATGTCCTGACCAACCATGGTGACATAACACATCCTTATATATATACACACACACACACACCACTTATAAAATACTTTAGATGCGCTGAAGAAGAATTATTAGATATATTATTTTTATTTTTAAACAAAACATCGTGGCTAGTATATTTATTGTGTGTGCCATAATATTCCAGTTAGTATTCACAGTTCATTAATGTTTCCAAGTAGACTTTGGCACTGATTTTTACTTAAGATAATACATAACACTAAGAGCTGGCATGACCTGTGCATCAATTAAGTGTTCTTTTATCAAATGAACATCAACAGCATTTCATTCTGAATAAATTATGCAAAATTTAAAAAATCCTAATCTTTTTATATCTTGTATATTCCATTCCCCACTTAAAGTGGGTGTGTTTACAATTTATAACTTTGATGCAAATTAAAAAAAAATGGATTTTCTTAAAGCTTAAAATAAAAATAGTTTTCTGAAGATTAATACATAATGCAAGCAAGAGGCTATTTTATTATGCATCTCAATATGTAACATTTCTTTGTATATACAGTATACATGTGTTGTTTTGTTTTCAAGACTTCAGATGTCAAAGTGGTCAGCAATAGAAGTGTCCCAAGAGGAACAAAAGTTACAGGCATTGCCTTCCTTCTGAATACAGCAAAAAGAGGTCAATGATGCAAAATAAAGCCAAGTGTAATAAAGCTTCTTGGTGTAATCAGTATTGTTTCAATGATAGCTTGTACACAATGTGATGAGAACACAAATTTACAATTGTTAATGGACAAAAAAGATATCTGGACATAACTGAGGACTACTTTAGAGTTTGTTAAAGATGTGGGCGCCTACAAATGTTGTAATACACAGTACAACATCAGAAATTGAAGCAGCTGCAACATGATTTTGAACACATTTTGTATATCACAAAAAAAACGTGTATTTACAGATGGAGAATTCTATTCACCTCCAGAATGTCTAAGTTTGTGAGACAGTTTGAACAATGTCTAGGTTAGATCATTGTATGTGCTACAAAAGAGCCAATTGAAGTTGATGCCAACAGTAGTGAAACACTGGGAATGAAAGAGATTTGAATATGCAAATCTCACTGCTTCTGCTCATATTAAATACACAGTTGTAAACAATGAGCAAATGATGATATTCCTCCCACATGCATCAGGTGTTTGCTTTGAGCTTCATAAACAATGGAGTAGTGGTAGTGAACAGAGCAGGCATACTATCATAACAGAAGTTATATTCAAAGAAAGGATCATAGGTTTGTCACAAAAAAGCGTTACCTGAATAACAGCACGGGCAATACTTGCCCCATCCTGGTACGAATGCTTGTAAAGTGAACAGGGTTTATAAATTTCATCATAATATGGCCTAAGTGGACAGTCAGTTAGCTTCAGAGCTAATTTGTAAACCTTTATATACAGTATAGTCTTGCAACTGTTATTCTGATGCATAACCACTAGTTATCTCACCATGGTTTCACTAGGAATATTGTATGACAAAAATCACACTATAAATCTCCAATGAATATGGCAGAAAAAATCTGTCAGGCATTTCAAAAATTAAGTTAAATCACAAAATTAACAATAATTTAGATGAACACAATTTATTATAAAATAGCCAACCAACTGTGGCTCAATAAAAAATCATCATCAGTCTGCTTTTTAATTTTGGCAAAGGATTTTTCTAAAAATATATAAATCTATACACAGTAATTCTTGTGTATATCCATCATGTGAAACTAACTTCTGTCTATAAGATAATTACATAGTTCCATGCCTTTTAAAGTGGGATGAACTGAATTCATCAAGCAAATGACTTGTTCTTGTATATGGTACATCTTCAAGCTAAAGAACAACATGAATGCTTCCATAGTACTCAACAGAAGTCTTCATTGATTTTGCATGTTCTACTTTGACTTTCACGCATCATGTCATCTTGTGTTCAATCATCGCTGAAGATATTCTCAACAATATTCTTTTTCTCAACTTCTACAATATTTCAATGAACGTAAGATCATAAAAGTCGAGGAAACTGTAGAAGGCCTATTGGCCCATAATAAGGCAGCTTCTATTGATATCCACTCAAACTTACTCATAGACATGTCTCACCTACACTTGAAACACTATCGATTCCCACTTATTATGTTACCCAGTAATGTGTTCCATACATCAGCCACCTTATTTCCAATCACTTTCAACCTCTGCAATGACAATTATGATTCATTTTTAAAAAGAACATACAAGCTACCAAAGAGGCATCTTGCAAGCTTCCCCACTTACCTCCTCTTCAATCTAGATCACAAGAAAAATGTGCAGCTTCTACTTACCCACAGCTAAGGAATTCCTCACCATTCACAACATTCAATTCCTCACCATTCACACAGCCTTTATGTGGCAAATGCCATTCATTAACAAATTAATGAAACCAGTTTATAAGGGTACATTTATTCTAAATTCTATTCATGCACAATGGAAAGTTAAGACAATTTTTACCCAGCAAGATTTGAGGTGATAAAACCAATACATTTCTAAACAAATGGCAACCATGGAGGTTGCCATTTCCATCTCACAAATTGTCCCTGTAATGCTCTTTCGTTCCATTTCTGCCATAAAAACTATTATGAAGACTTAACAGTAAGAAAATTGTTGCCATCCAGCTCTTGTTTACATCTCACCATGGCCGCCTTTTTCTTTCAATGTTTTGTCCAAACACAAACGAGCTACGAGGACATTTTACAATCTTGTCCAAATTCCACATTTATTTTAGAATGTGCACTTAATCACATTTACTTCCTATAAAACGGATACACTCTGAAATAACCATTTATCATGCCCATTCAATCATTTTAGCCTGCAACAATGTGACCCCTCACTGTACCAGCAATTTTTATCATAATAAAACCTAAAATTTATCAAACATTTTATTTTAAGACCAAAAAGGTACTTTTTTTTTACGGCCAATAAAAAAGAAGAGATACTCACTTGATTAACTGCCTTAGGATCAGGAATAATATCCGTGTGTTTGATGACAGAAACAGACTCGCCAGTCAAGATAGATTGATCAATACGTAGGGTGGTGGAATGTATCTTGATTAATCGCATATCAGCTGGAATCTTGTCACCAACTGAAAAAAAAGTCAACAATAGTGTGATCAAATAAAGTACTGTAATTAGGACATACTGTACTAGGTTTTTCTTTTTTCAAGAGGTTCCATTATTATTAGCACATAAAAGTAAAAGAAAAATAATAACCATCAATACCATAATCATTAACCGTTAAACTACCTACAATACAAACTGCTCTTCAAAATTATAAGAAGGCATTCTCCAAGTCCAGGTATGACAACCACACAGCAAAAGAAGAAATACAGTACAGACGTTCTTACTGGGGCACATAATGGTGTACACTTCCTATAATATTCAGTAACCTACCTGAAACTTCAATAATGTCGCCTGGAACGATTTCCCGAGCACGTATCTTCTGCACACCAGCTTTATTGGCACGTATCACCTTTCCCATCTCGGGTTCGTATTCCTTTAATGCTTCAATGGCTGACTCTGCATTGCGTTCCTTTGGAAAGAATATAATTTATAATACCGTACATGTTTAATAATTGTGGTATTTCTTTACAGAAATGCTCTAGTGCCAGAGAGGATTTTTAGTCGTAACATTACCACCACTCTCCAAGAGGAAAATAACTTATATTTCACCTTCTTTCATAAAAGGTGTCAACTAAATGGAACATGATACAAGAAAACCCTAATGCTTTGAGGATATCATTGGAATATTACTTTGTTTTAAAGTTCTTAGAATTTTCCCTGACTGATCTTATATTTACATTATTACACCTTAAAAATGTATTATTATTTCTAGACTTCTTCTAGACAAGAGAGTACAGAATTTATTCTGTAGTCTCCATTCTACAATGACATTTGACACTCCTATTTTGAGCTCATATTAAGTTTATGTTTTCTGGATTTGAAACATTTTTTTAATGTTAAAATTTAGTCACATTCATGTGAACAATTAGTGATTTTAATGTCTTATTTAACTGACCAAATCTGATCTCACAAGTCTGCATTTTAGAAATCATGTTTATCATTTATCCCAATGATTTATAAACTTCCACCATTTAAATTATTTACACCACTACATAGTACACTAATTACATTATACATAAGTGGATTAAATACAGTATTCAGTTATATAATGCAAGACATTTGAGCTGCCTTTCCAGACAAATATGACCAAAGAATTAACAATTAAATAATATATCAGTCAACAGCAACTGACATCAGTTCATGGAATAATTTGTTTTGGTTCAGCTTAAAAATAATTTATTCTAATTAAGTTGATCCAAGTAAACAAAACATACCTGCCATACGCCAACTATGGCATTAGCAATAAGGATAAGCAGAATAACAAACGGTTCAACAAAGGCAGTGACAGTTTCCTCGCCTTCTTCAAAGCAAGCCAACACCTGAAAAAAAAACACGACAAACTTAAGAAGTCTGTTAAGCTTTAGGTTATTGTACTGTATGTACTGTGCACAGATTTCGACATCACAACCTAAACTTATCTTGTTTTAATCTATCTTTAGGTTATTGTACTGTATGTACTGTGCACAGATTTCGACATCACAACCTAAACTTATCTTGTTTTAATCTATCTAAATTTTTTGTTCACACAAACCTTAGCACCTATTTGGCTAGTCTTCAAAATTATCAATACCATATAGGGGTCCAAGAGCAATTCACTTGAATACACTGCATCTAATATTGTACTCAAATGTCTCAAAGTATACATTACTAGATACATAAAAACCCATATCCAACTACCACTATTTAAAAAGACATTAATCACTGCAATGGAGTTTTTAAATACTGTACAGTATATCGTCTCCTTTGTCATATACAGTATAACCAAATTACTCTGCTGCACAAATCTCAGATTTAATTTCTAACAATGTTAATGTTTAATTTTATTGACAAAACACAAAGAAACTACTTCAATAAAAACAGCTGATAAATGCATTATTATTGTACAGTACTTACAAATGATATGACTGCAGCCATTAACAAAATTTTAACAAGTAAATCGTCAAACTGCTCCAGGATCAACTCGAACAGAGACTTGCCCTCCTCTGCCGGTAACTCTGTAGAGAAACACGCAATAAACAAATGGTTGTGATATGTAAAAAATATAAAATTCACCAATACTGTACAAGGTAGGAATTTAAACCCAATGTGCCATCATCGTCATTTGCCGACCTCGGCCACTGTGGTTATCATCATTTGCTGGTTTTTGTTAACTTTGCCCAGTTTTAATACCAATGATGTAAATATGGCTATATTACATCTATATATATAGATGTAATGAGCTTTACCCAGACACTAAAAAATTGTACCATTTAGTAAATCCCTTACTATGCAATGTGACTGACATATACTAAAGGTCTATAGAAATCACAAATCTTGCTAGACAAATAAAAACAAATCATATTGCTAAATGATGATTTGTTTTACCAACAGTGTTTGAATCCATGTCTGGACACCATTCCCAGATAGAATTGAAGAAACTGAGTGGGTTGCAATACACTTCTTTTTGAGCTTTGCTATGAACAACTTTATTTGCAATATACATAGGTATACATGAACAAATCCACAAGGGCCATGATGAGGGTTCGAACCTATGTCCGAGAGGATCCCAGATGCGCCTTAATCGACTGTGCTACGACATGGTAAAATAATTGCAACCGGGAGTTCAACTGATCTCTTGTATACAAAAGTATACTAAATTGTATACAATTTAGTATACAAAAATGTATAGGGAACAAAACATTGGCGGGGAAGGAAGAGAGAAGCTAATGAGGTGTGGCAGAGTTGTTGCCTCAAAGTGTGGGGGAAGGATGGGGGATATTCCACTTTACCATAGTTTTTTGTAAATAGAGTACTGTATATCAATATATTTTTATAATTGCAAATCATTCCACTTACAAGATATGGCATGCCTCTTATATTGGTGCTGGCATCTTGGCATTTTTTTTAGTAGTTTGTCGACTATATAATCCATTCCGAGTCTTTGCAAGTACAGTATTGTATTGCATGAGCAAATAGAAAGATTCCCACTCCATCAAAGATCCACCAATTTCCCACCACAGGAAATACATAACGTATTATTAAAGATAAACTAAAATCTATTACTTGTCCTTTTTCATTTGAAACAACCAATACAGTACTTATAAATTATATAATTAAATTTGCATAATTCACTCAACTTTTATATACACAAACAGTAATAAATGTTATATTAAAGTGTCATAAATACATAAAGCTTACCATTTGGGCCATACTTCTCCTGGCTGTTCTTCACTTGGGCTTCAGTAAGACCAACCTCTGCTTCCACAGCAAATTGGGTGAGGACATCCTCGTATGAATAAGTGTGTGCATCTTCCATGATTAATTCTTGTTAAAGAAGGAGGTTACGAATACTTGAATTTACTCCCCAGTAGTTATTCTCTGAAACAAAACAATTAACATTTGTAAGGAGATGAAAACAAATGTACAAAGATTCAAATTAACAGCAGCAGCCTGGCCTACCCCAGGTCTATCGTTTTCTCTTTGGTGGACTTACAATCTTATACTTTACAATGCATTTATGACCTGCTTTTCCTGACACTCTTATCCAAACCTCAAAAGCCTCTTAATCTTGTGGCTGGCCCTAACAACAATTTGTGTTGCCATGCCTTACATACATAACACTGAAGACACTGGTCAATCTGTTAGCATTTGATACACTGCTGCTGTGAAGCCCTAGTGTGAATACATGTAGGATAAGCTGGTTATTGTTAATTTCCAATTTGATAGGACCACCATCATACAGTACCTGTATGACTGATTGTAGTCATAAGTGCAAATTACTCCCAAACGTATTTACCTGAATTTACCCGAGGGCCACCATTTCTCTAGTGGCTTCTACAAGGACAGGAAGCTGGCGGCTTGTCAAAGGCCCCCCCACCATTTTTTCAGGATAATTTTCTACTGCTGGATTTTGAATTGCAGTCTTGTCTTGAAATTTACAGCTTTGGTAGGTAGGGAGGCAGTTCCATGGGTTTACAACCCTCTGGTGAAAAGATGACCAAACCACACATCAGGAAATGGAACAGTCTGTTCTGGAACATTATCAAATCGTGTCGACATTGGTTTATGAATTGATAATGGTCAAGGATGAACTGAAACATCGTCGGTTTTACATTTTCTGATGTGCAGTTCGGTCATCATATCTTCAGCTTCATTATTGTGACTCATCGTCTGTCTCTGGTGAAAGATTTCCTGTCTTCTGTCCTACATTATGGATTGTTGAGTTTGAAGCCATTGCTCCTTGTGTGTTATTCTGGACCTTATAAAGAAGTGGTCTGGATCAACATCCTCCAAATTGTTCAGAATTTCATAAGCTTTGACGAGATCAGCCCCGTCATGTCTGGTTTGCAGTTGTTAAAGCCCTCAACTTTTCCTGGTGAAAGAATCAACTTAGTTCCAAGCTGATTTTTGTCACCTGGTGTTGAACTCTCTCGAAAGCAGATGTCCTTCTGAAAATACAGTAGTCCAGATTGGGGGGACACAGAGAAATGAACAGTTAAATAACAATCTTTTCCTTTAAGTCAAAGGTTCATTTGTCTATTAGGTTTTATATCATTTACTTTTTACTGCAGCTCCCAACTCGTGCAACTTTCAATGACTGGTGGATTCTAACTCCTCAGTCCTTCTCCTCCTCAATCTGCTGCAAGGTAAAGTTGTTGATTTGATAATTGTGATGTGCCTTGCTATATCCAGCATGCAAGGTCTTGTCTTTTTCAATATTAAATAGCAATTCTCAGTCTCCCGACCATTTGTGGAGTTCGTGTAGATCACTTTGTAAGGCCTCTTATTTTCCTTTCCTACTTACCATAGATCTTAAGTGAACCTGGATGAGGTTCTGAGAGTTCTTCTACTCCCCAATCCCGGCCCAAGGCCAGGCTCGAGTTATGAGAGAATCGTCCACCAGGATGCTGCTTGGAGCGGCCCGCAAGCCCACATATCCACCACAGCCTGGTTGGTCCAGCACTTCTTGAATAAAACTACCCAGTTTTTTTTCAAAGATTTCCACTTTTGTTCTGGCAATACTTCTTATACTCGCTGGGAGGATACTGAAGTACCAATGACCTCATACAGTGTTCTTTGATTTGTGCCTATGGCACCTCTACTGTTCATTGGCTCTATTCTGCATTTTCTTCCATATCCTTCACTCCAGTATGTTATTTTACTGTGCAAATTTGGGAGCTGGCCCTCCAGTATTCTAATACAGTACAGTACATATAATTTGATACCTTTCTTTCTCCTTTCTACAGTACATTTTGGGATCACTCGAGACTATATGGTATACAAAAAAAATGATTTATATAAAATAGACTACACCTGAAGTGTGATACATAAAGCCAGTAGCGGTCCACTCGAACCTGGACCATGATGTAAGCTTACTGGATTATAATGTTTTACTCTATAGCCATGTAGCCATACATGGCTATATAGCCAAAACATACATGTTTTACTATATAGCCATTATTAGGGAGTTGTAGCCTGAGGCTATATCAAGATAACCTCAAGATATAGCCTCAGGCTACAACTCCCTAATAAGCCTGGCTACTACAGCATAATTAAGAGGTATTCCACAACCAGCGTTGGTATGTGGGGGTCGAAGCAGGTGTGTGTGGGGGTCGAGGCAGGTGTGTGGGGGTCGAGGCAGGTGTGTGTGGGGGTCGAGGCAGGGAGAATACGCCACATACAACTGTTGCTTCTGCTCACCCCCCACAAGTCAACGACCATTCAACACCAGCCCCGCATAATAATGAGTACTCTTATGCTCAGTGGGGTGAACCCCAGCATCGCTTAGCCCTCGGGGACACCCGCAGGCTCCCTGCCCCCGAGGGCTGGAGTCCCGCCAAAAGTGGCGTAAGTATAAGGGAAATGTGCGTCAAAAGATGGTGTCAGCCAGCTGTGATGACAAGACTGGACCGGCATCTCCACATTACTCCTCTCTCCTTCCTCCCATCTCCACACCTTAACCAACGCCATTACCCACTCATTTTCCCCTATAAATAAATCAGGAGAGAGAGAAGGTAACAAGAAGAGAGAGAGAGAGAGAGACTTACCGGGAAGGGTTTTTGAGGCGTTTGGGAGTCAGCGAGACATGACACGTCTAGTTAAGCCGAGGAGACATGTGAACCCGTCCGCCGCACCAGCCGTCCATCCGCCTCCCTCGTGACGTCACGCTACACGAACGCTGCCTCGAGCGCGTCGTCTCTTTACTTCTCACTTATTTATTGATTTATTGATTTATATATATACAAGAAGGTACATTGGGGTCTGTGAGGATAAATAGGATAGTAATTACAATCATATAAAGCCACTAGTACGCGCAGCGTTTCGGGCAGAAATAAAATAACTTATTTATTGATTTATTGATTTATTTGATTTGCTTCAACACTTCACTAAATTACAGTGTGTTCTGTTTAAATGTTTGTTTTTAAAATTGCATTCTTGCGAAGTCATTAACAGCAATCATATTCTACGAGTAGAATGCCTGCATGTGCAACAACTAAAATAAACTATTTATAAACAAACATATATAGAGAGGATCAGAACAGTGTCTACTTATTATGTACGGTATTTGTATATTTTGTAAAGCCTCTAATTGCTATTAATTAAAGAAAGAAATAAAGCAGCGAACGCTTGCCAGCGATCATAACCATCAGCATCCAAATAACAAAAGAATGCATTTAATGATGATTAACTTTGTATTCACTTTAATACCTTTTTTCGTAAATCCTTTATGCTTGGTGATTATTTTCGTTAAATGCTGTCGCAAACATAAATTCTACTAAACAAATTTACCTATTTAATCTGCAAAAATTTTAAGAGAAATAATTATAGGTATTGTATGTACTAGCTCGTTCTATAAATCCAACATTATGTTTGTAACCCATCTTCTATGTATGTACTTTTACCTGAATACAAATTTGAATTTGAATTTTGAATTAGAATTTGACCCGTGAGTGCAGAAGTCTGATGCGAATACGGGGAAGTGAAGATAATTCCCTCTCTTGTGCCCCATCTACTGACCCTTCACTGCATTCCAATCGTTGACCGTCCAAACAGGGCACGAGAGGGGGAATTATCAGAAGAGTGTCAAACCATTACGACTATTTAGGAAACGATAAGGATTTGGAAATGGGACGGTGGAGGGGGGGGGGGGGGGGGGGAATGGCGTCCAAGCACTTGGATGGTCGGGGATTGAACTCAGAGCTGCATGAACCGAGACCGTCGCTCTACTGTCCACCTCAAGAGATCAAGAGAGGGGGTATTAGGGTAGAGCACTAGTATTCGACTCATTTGCGTTTCCGGCTTCCACTGATATCCTCTCGCCCTCCTTTCTCTTAATTTAATTAAGAAACTGCCCTTATTTCACATTTGTTCTCAGTACCTTGTATGTTGATTATACACAACATACAAGGTAGAGCAATGGTCTCACATCATAGAGATCAGCGTTCAATTCCTGACCGTCCAAGTGATTGGGCACCATTCCTCCTCCCAAATCTGTATCCTAACCCTCTTCTTAGTGCTATATAGTCGTAATGGCTTGGCGCTTTTCCCCGATAGTCCCCCCCCCCCCGTTTCTATTTTTTTCCCAGAGACAGGGTGACTATTTCCAATTAATATTGCTCTCATTGCATTTTGACCAATTTTCTGATTGAGCGCAGTACTAGGATAAATACTTGAACCCTTGGGAAAGCCATCGAGTATATTACAAACATAAAACAATGAAAATAAGGTTATTAAAAGTATGGAAAAATTGGCGATGGCTAAAATCTTAAAAAGAATTGGATCTGGAATAATTTAAATTCAGATTTTGAAGGAGCACCATACATTGCTTGCTTGCTTTGCACACACACAAACCATGAGCAACACTTCAATTTTATTTTGAATTTTGCACACAATAGAAGATAATATAATACAGAATATAGACTCTACAGCTATCAAACACTACACCACCATTAGAAAATTTAAGAAATTCAGTATTCTAGCCCCCCTCCCATTTGCTAAATTATTATTAATATGGATCTTAACATCTCTGGCCTATTCCTACTTTTTTATTTAAAAAAAATCTAGGCCATGTGGATTCTAACCAAAATAATCTCAAAAGCGGTCGGTATACTTTCTAAAATCAGATATGTTCCCCATTCTGCTCTCCTCTCATTATACTATCTGCTAATCTATCCCCATCTTACACACAGTATCTGTGCATGGGGTTCAATCAACTAGACATGGTGTTCAACCACTGCAAACTACCTCAAGCCCATCATCACCCAGCAAAAATCTGTTATCAAAACAATAGCAAACTGTTTTCAGGCAACACGCAGCCCCCCATTTAAATCCCTAAACATCCTAAACAAACTCGCTCTACACGTTCTCTTGTGCCATTTACATGTACAAAACCTTATTCCTAAATGCTAATCCTGATCTAAAACTTCCTAGACAGATGTAAGAGTTCATAATCCACACCAGAAATAAACATATCTTTGAAATCCTGTCAAACTAAATCAGTGTAAACCCTATGCCAATAAAGTGACAGCCTATAGAACTCGCTCCCTAATGAATTAAAAAGTTGTCCAACCTATGCCTTATTCAAAAGAAAAACCAAAAAAGTAGCCAATTTCATCATCATAGTTTCCTGCTTAGTGCTTCAAACTCGCACTATATGTGCCTAAGCCATGCAACTTCATTGTAATCATTGCTATCAACATACACTATTATGGTTATATTGAATGCAAATCTTACTACAATGTACCTATTAATAAGCCTCAAATATGCTACAATGTACCTGTTGATAATCCTCAAATTTTACTACAATATACCTACAGTATTAATTTTCTTCAAATTTTCTTACAATGTGCCTGTTTATATTCTTCAAATTTTGCAACAAATTATCTACTTCAAATTATCTGTTAAATTAAGGACCTGCCCAAAATGCTATTCATGTTAGTGGCTTTGCAAGAATGTAATAACATCAATGCTATGTACTCTCATAAACCCAATGTACCTTCTTGTATATAAATTAAATAAATACCGTTACAGTATTATACTTCCAGTACAGTATTTTTAATATCTTTGTACACATACAAAAGTAGAATTGATTAGAGGATGGTAAAGATACAAAGTAATAACTTTTAATTATTTATTCTATCAACAATAAATGAGTGGCATGTACAAAATGAGGTACAAAATTGCACCACATCTTTGTACTTGAACAAGTGGATGTTTGTATGGTCGTTCATTGCTCTCTGAAGGGCGAATTGACACGAGCACGAACACAGGACACAACAGACTTTGTGCGACTTTTGGTAATGTTTGCCCAAGAGTAGCTTGGCTAACAGTTTATTTTAACAAGGGAATCAAAATAGTCTAGTTACTCTAAATCAAATTACAACACAAGTAAATGTACATATTCATTCTCTACTGCATCCATTGGATGGAGAATGTTGGCACGGTGATGGGCCAATGGTAGAATCCTCCCCTTGCAAGTGTGCCAAATCCAAGTGTTGCATCAGGCATGAAGAGGGCCCGAGGCATTGCAAGGGGAGGCTGAGATCTCTGGTGGAGGTGAAGGACCCCGCACACCACTGCCATATGCTGCTGCCCCCTCTCCATTGACCCATGGCCACTGCTTCTCGAGAGCCATGGGCATCATCTCTAGGGATAGGAAACCCCCTGATGTATTGACAGACGTTCTCTTGCTGTGGAGGCCATGGTGGGGTGGTGTTCAGCTCATCACAGGCGTGGCACTGACAGTTAGCAGGTTAGTACAGCTATTGCTACTGGCTGTGAGGAAATTGTAAAAGCTGGAGCAGATGTTAACTTGCAATCTTTACCACTGTTGCTTAATCTGTTCGGGTACTGTAAAAAATAGCAATATCTATATTAGAATCTCACTACAGTAAAATAAAAGTCTTGGTTAATAGTTACTGCTACTGCTACTGCTACTTGCTATTTCTAAGCAATAACTTAAAAAAATAATAATAATAATTGCAAGTCAGAAGATATTATAAAAAGAATATCTACATCTACACCATTAGTCAGGTGCCTGAGGATTCTGTGATGGGCGCGATATGTTTCTAGCTGACGACTGCTCTTACTTAACTTGTGCGGGCACTGTAAAGGAAGAACCAATGGGATTATACAAACCGTTTACAATGGAATTGTAATTGTGGGCATTGTGGTCAAAAGTTATGATTTCCAACCAGCATTTTACTGTACTTCAAGTTAAGATATTTTTTTAAATTTTAGCATAAGATGAACAATAACAGTGTACAATTTTATTTAAAATGGTAAATTGATGTATTGTTTTTAATACTATCTTTATTAGAAGTGCTGAATATCAGCTAAAGGTATACAAGATGTGTTGTGTCATTTTAATGAGCAACGGCCTTGCCTTCAACTGATTACCGATACCTTTTTTTTACCAATTTATATCTAATATATGCTAAGGTTTTATTGTTGAATACCTGCAAATTAATGCTCAGTTGCAAATTGATAGGTGGGCGAGTACTACATACGGTGTGTTAAAAATGTACTACTGTACTTTCCTTAGGTTCCGAGTTTAGTCTATTGCTATCTATTGTTATCCTGTAGTTTCTTTACCTCTACTATGTTTGGATACATGGTCTGTATTATTATGAAGCACTGCACAGTCTAAACTTTAAATAATGTTTACTAGAGTATTTTAGTTTTGTAACATACTAATGAAGAGCTGAGAATTTGTTTACAAACTAAAAAAACTACCAATCAATAGAAATAAATAAATTAAATGTTTATTTTTATCTTACACGAAATGTGGCAATAAGGCAATGGCATCATTAAGCTAATAGCACCTATAAAGCAAGCAAACGCTGGCAGAGGCAAACACTGTCAACTACACTTGTAATTTTTCTATTTTATACTACTACTAGCAGCAAATTGGAAACTTGGCAGCAACAGTCGGAATTTGACCACTGGCAAGAACTTACTGTCGACAACCAGAGAGATCTACAATTGCCAGTGAGCAGTTCATTTCCTGCCTTCCAAGACTGAGGGAACAAAGGGATAGGATGAGTACACTGTAAGTGGAAAGGGGGGGGGAAAAAGGGCATATGGTGGGCGAGGAGCTTCAGAGGGAGGAGGTTGTAGCAGCACCTTGTGGGCCCATTATCTGTGGGGTGGGGTGGGGGGTGGGGGCGAGGGACTGAGTGGAATTAAACAAAAAATTAAGGGTATTAAAAAATTTAAAGTGGTTACGAGGATTCTACAGTGTAGTTTCTTCAAGAATTGTTTGTATTTTCTCACATTTTGAAGCATATAAAATAAAATAAAATAAAATAAATACTCTTTAAACCAGAATAATCAACTACTGGTATCACTATTACTGTAACAGCAAATACTGTACAGGCAATTAAAATTAAATGCACGTTTTAATGGGAATTGGGAATTGAAAAAGACGTGCAGAGATTGTGTAGGTCTAATTAAGCATGTTTTCAAAAGGATACCATAAATATGGAAGTATTTTGAGGAACAAGATTATGGATTTAAAAAAATCACAGTAAGTACAGTTTTAAAGGGGTGGGACAGGGAGGTCTACAAAGCCATTACCTAATGTGATCTGACGAACTGCAGACCTATAACAATTCTTACCATTTGTCACTAACAAAGGGATTTTTTTTTATTAAATACATATCCCAAATTTGTATTAAGATACAGTACTATACTAAAATATTAAAAAATATTAGATTGTTACCCGGACCCTAATTTGATAGAAAAATTAGTAAAATATTAAGTTTGGTGTCAATTCTGACTTTGTTCTCTGCTTGTAGTTTCGACACTTGTACTGTACTCTATTAATACCTTCAGGCACACACATTTCCGAGTGGTATCACAAGATTAGCTCTGCTTGCCTATCAGTGATTACAGTGGAGATCTAATTTGTTATGCCCCACCTCATTTTCATTTGTAGGGCAAACTAAATAACCCTCTTAATTTTTTTCTTCAAGTTGTGGATGGAATCGGCTTCAATAATCTCTTCCTTCACGGCATTCCACTAGCCGAATTACCCATACGGGAAGCAAAAATTTTCTTACATCTCCACGAATCGATTGTGTATCCTGCTTCCACCAATGTTCCTTATCCGAGCTTCAGTGCATTCACCTCTTATAATATAGACATAGGTTCAAGTGCTTTTCATGGAGGGATAATTGGGCACCTATTCACTCCTGTTCATCCAGTAGCAACTAGGGACCTTGTTGTAAACCAATAAGCTTATCATTTTCTCAGGGAGAACGAACAGAGGATGGCTCTGGCATTCAGATTTGGCAACCTTATCCTTGTCTAGAAACCTGCAATGTAGTTAACTAACAAACCAATTGGTCTTAGGTTTGATCTCTGGGCAGGGCAAGATGCTTGCCCTTCCCAGAACATCGAGTGTGTTTTCTTACACCCAATACCCGTTCTGCAAGCAGTACATGGGAACCTGCAAGTTAGTCGACTGTTGTGGGATGCAGCATGGGCAAGGTCAGTCATTGGGTAGGGGAAACCTCAATAAGTCTTAAGAGGCATCCTGTAACTAACAGTGAAAAACAAGGCAGTAATATTACTGTATTGGAAGTAGTGCAAGTGTAAGAGTTAATGATAAAACGATACTGTAGTCATGAATGATTGTCCGATTCTCTATTAGTGTATGTACAGTAATTAGGAAATATCTTATTTCACTCCCGCACTGTAGATATCTAAGAGGCATATCTGACTAAACAAAAGCTATCCTCATTCCCAGTTTTCCCCATGACCCAATCCAAAATGAACTGAAATTTTGTTAATATGTATCCGAATAAATTGGGTTTTGAGCTATACAGCATTAATACTTAAAATTACATGGGAAAACTTTATGGTATATTAATTTACTCGTGTTGGTAAACCTTAACATAGTAATGTGTATAAATTATTTTCACTTTTGTAATAAAATTCGGGGTTGTGTAATGAATCTTATCTTTTTCCTTTTACAAGACCCCAGTTGATATCTGCACACGTACCAAACCAATCTGCTTCATATAAATGTTATAATACTTTCTATACTAACAAAGCATATTAAGAAGATTAATATCTTTCCATGGGAATCACCTTAAAAAAAAACCACTGCAAAAAATTATTATTGTACTCTGTAATAGAAGTAATTTTATACTGCGTATACATTATTTATAAAAATAATTATATATAGTGTGTGTGTATATATATATATATATTACACATACTATACTGTACACACATACTACATGTATATATTATACATACAGTATATTGTATATAGTATATACGAACAAAATATTAAGTTTAAAACAAATATACTCCTAGAGTTAAACTCGCACATGGTTAAGCCTCTTACAACTAACGACCTACAAACTAAGTCATTTATACTAGTGCAAACATTACAAGTAAAAACTCTGATCTTCGATCTTACCTGGAATGTCCCATGTAAAGCTGAGGGATTAATTAGTCACACTTCACACTACATTAACGGCCAAAATTGTGGAGATGGCCGCTGTAGATAGGCCATTAAGAGTTGAGGTAATATTATTGGTAACAGGGTCTAAGAAGCTACAGCACAAGGCAAGACAACACACAAACTCTTCACATTTCTTAACAACGGTTTATTATTTTCTTAACAAAACTCGTGACATCACAGTTCATAAAGGGGAATAGCATAAATGGTCTGGACACAGTGAACAGCAAATGTCAAGATCTCAAGCTGACAGATGTATAGTTACTCTACTGTGCTCTATTTTCTTATTTAAGAACCTTCACTTGAAAAACTATTCCTGCTGAATGCAATTTATTTAAATTTTAATGATATAAATAAAATAAGTAAATGGTGCATTTACTGGTCATGATAATTCTTACATTACTGTTCACATGTGCCTTTCCACTGAAGTTGTATAAACGGTAGTAAAATGTTGAAGTGAAACGGGAATTGCATGACTTAGTCCGATTGACAAACATGATTTCACTGTTATCAAGCAGCACATCACAGTAGCTGCCACAATATCGTTTTCACTGTTATCAAGCAGCACATCAAAGTAGCTGCCACAATTAATCTCAATGTGATGATGAAAATGGTGTTCAAACACACCTTGTACTTCTCTTAATAAACTGACCTTAATTACTGGACTCTTCAATAGTGCAAACAGTGAACCTGATGTTATCACACAGACAACTAGACTTCTCATGGCCATTACAAGGTTATAACAATCCAGAATTCTATTACAGCTATTTCAAGTAAAAACATCTAGCTACATTGGATGAAAATATCTTTGTATTCTACCTTTGCAAGATAATTTAACATTATGAAGTTCAATGAATAGTCTAATACCAGAAGTCATATTTGAATATCTTGCAAGGTACAGTATTCTATAGTATAAATGTCATAAAAAATTGAGAAATATAATTTTTCTTTAAATTGTTCTTTAAAAAACAAGTAGAATAATATTAGAGGTAACGAGTACGAGGTAAAAATTAATACTCACATCAGTTTTGTTGGTGTGAGTGAGTCTCAGAAGAATAACAGAAAAGGTTATGAAAAGGTAGATGAAGGTGACAGGAAGCAGGAAAATTGCAGGAAAAAGGGAAAAAGTCAAAGTTAAAAAAAAAAAAATAAGAGTCGCAGTTCCTCTTCACTTGGTTGGGCCAATGTTGGTTGTCCTTGGTGATCAAATGTCCTTAGTTGAAGGTGAAGATAGCAGGGTTTGTTGGTAGTAAAGTTCACAGGTATCAGCTGTGGCCCTTGTTCCATATATGGCCAGAAACTTTTACACCCAAAACAGAGGCAATAGCGATGTTGGGAAATGATGGGGGGAAAATGGTTGTTATGGTTTAAAATTTCCAAGCAAAAGTTCAGGCAAATAGAACCACACACTTTGGACTTGTGGAAAATTATTTATGCTACAGGTTTTCTATACAACTTTAAATTTGATGAATATAAAATAGTCGGTTATGAACTCCAGAGATTAAACATGATAATACTGATTATCTCATGTTAAGAGACAGTCCCACTTGATTTGGCATACAGAAGCACCAAAGCATTCCTCCAGGCATTATTCATTACAAGATTTATGTAACTCCTTAGACATCAGAAATTAGTAGGTGGAGCATGGGGTAAAATTTAAAAGGAACCTTAAAAACTGAGCACAGACAAGCTCCACAAATATCTAAGGTAAGTGGGGGGATGGTTTCATGTGTGGAATAATAAATAAAGAGGGAACTATGATGAATTTATTCCAAAATCTGTCAAATAACTAATTATGACATGCAAACAACTCAATCTCACAGTCCATAAATAAAGGTCTTTAAAAGGATTCTTGTGAATAAGGGGGGGCTTAAGGATGCAATGGGTAATGATGGCAAATTTGTTTAAACTACAGTACTTAAGCAATTACTCTTTAACGGTCTCGTGATCATACACGTACAGGATTTAAAAAAAAAAAAAAATTTTTTTTAATTATTACTGCTTTCTGGTCGTATCATTAATAAGAATAGTCGTTTGCACCTACCAAAGTTCCTTGGATAAATTTGAACATTTATGACTTCAGAAGTTCAACTTCTAAGAAAGCATTATGAATCAAATCATAGAAGAAACTTCGCCATTACACCATAAAAAAAAAACATTATCCATTGCACATATTCACATGTTATTACAAACTGCAATGACCTTACACTACACACTACTAGGGAATACTTTTAATGTACATCTACAAGATGTGAACCATCCAAATGCTCTTGGTAGGATACATTGGCATGCTAGGGGGAAGGGAGGTGGTGGGAAGAGGCAGGGTTCAGATGCCACCAAATAAAATGAAGGCACAAATTTTAAAAAACCGTCTACTTCAGACATCGCTATATGTACCCTAAAAAAATACCATTTCATAATTTCATCGAATTACTTAGAAAAGTACTATTTCTTTACTCTAGATGCTGATAAATCATGTATCCCACAAGCATGCATTCACTTCCATTAATGCAGATCATTAGTTTGTAAATTTAACCAACAATTCTGTCAAGAGACGATAAATCTTTATGTCTGATCCCAGTTCCATGATTCTGTCCTCACTAACAACAAATTAATGGAGTATGGAGTCTATTCAAACAGATTGCCTGCCTCTAGTTCTGGAGGAGCTTTGGTCTGGAAGTCGACCACCATTTGGAATAGGTGGTCAAGTGTCAATTTGTGTCAACTCTCAGCACTTTATTATATATACACTATACTCGACACTCACACTGCCCCCAACTTAAGCAAACAGCAGTGGCAACAGCAGCAAACAGCAGTGGCAGCTGACAGCCACAGTAGCAACAACAGCTGATTCACATGATGTATTTAGGGGCAACAACACTTGTCCGACTTTCAAGACTCATGTCACACACCCTGAGTCTTCGAGTCCCACTTGTACCTTTCAGTAAGAGGGAGCACAACAGTGCTCAAGTAGCACCTATAAACATTGTAAAAAGCTTAATCTCTCCATGAATGAGAGGCTGTTCTGCACAAACCTCTTCAAATGAGAAAATTCTGTGAAAGTCAAATCACAATGTTTTTCCTTGCTCCCAACTAAGTCTTTTTTTAAGTTTTCAAAATAAAACGGGTCTGATTCCCGACAGTACATTTTGTTAGGGTGGTGACTGAGGTTAAAAGAAGTAAATCTTGATGTAGGCAAAATAGGTAGCCCAGGCTAGCACAATCCAGTGGCATTTATACAGATTGTTCTCACCGTCGGTGTAATTACGTGCGATGAACTTAAGAGTCTCGTCCAGCAGCAATACAGGGAAGGAAATCTTCAAGACAGCAACCCACTGGGCAACAGACAGTGGCATCACCTGGAACACAGTCTGAATACAAAGGAATGCAATTAGTATATAATTATGCTTCTAGGTCCATGTAACATTCATCACAAAACTGCTAAGATGCTGAACTCATAGCCTAAGCGAATACCACATTAACCCATGGAGTGCTTGGCCATTTAAACGTCGTCATGGTGTACCCAATAAAAAAAAAATTGGTTAACAAATGGAGTGGATAAATATTGCAGTATAGTAACTTGCGAAAAGCAGGTAATCGCAAATAGCAATTTAAGCAGTGTTAAAGGTTACATGTGCATGTCAGGGACTTGATGTATTATTAAAAATTAAACACTGCATCACAAGGATGTAATGCATCATGAAATACTAAACATCAAAACCACTTAGTTATTCTAATCTGATCCATGGAATCATCCCTTTATTCATAAATACTTATCAAACACCTGCTTCCCCCTCTACATATAAGTGTAATGTGGTAATAATGATGGTAATTAACCAGAAGGGCCTTAGAATTAATCATGTTAATTGTCCACCAGTACTATGAAACTGTAACAGTATTTGTAAATTAACCAATGCTATGGAATTACTTTATTTGTTACTTACCCATTCACATTATAAGCAAGCTGGATGATCATCTAAAATGGTGCACTATGTATAGTTTGTTATATGGTTTTAAATTCCTGTACATTGCAGCCTATGGAATTACAGTATACCATAACAGCAAGCAGGCTCTCTTACTATTATATTTAAAGTATGAATGTGTTTTACACTACTCATTAATGAGCTATCAACACCATGTAATTCTAAATAATTTAATTTTTAAGATTTTACCCACATTCCCTAAAAAGCTACGGAACCTCGCATTGATTGGTCCCGCGGGTTAAGGTCCCCCGCGGCCCGTTCTCTGACCAGGCCAGGGAAGCCCCCATTTCTTAATACAATATTGTATTAAAAATTAACTCTGCATCAAGTGAGGGAAAACCTGCAACTACAGACATGTTGTCTTTTCTTATCAGTGACTACGGGGATAACAAGACCTAGCTCTTCACGTCCCGTCTCCTAGACATACATCAAGACATTAGGCCACTTACACTGAGGATGTCAATGTAGAGGATGATGAAGTGGAGGGTCATGGACAGGGCCATAGCCGCCAGCAGCCAGAAGTTGACCCAGGGAGGCATTATCAGCAGCGACTGGTTCTCAGACAAGCTGAAACAATTAGTGTAAGCATATGATAAAAGAAAAAGACACCTTAATTTGAATTTAGTAATTTCATGTAATTGCCGAGAAAGAACCGACTGAAAATTATTTCTGTGGATCGTCTCCAAAAACCTGGTTGACACTTCCGTGAACATTCATTATGGCTTGGTCTAGTCTATGCTTGGGAAACTTCACACACTTTAGCAGTGGCCAACTCTAACCACAGCTTTAAAAGCAAGTAGGACATGGAGCAATTGAAGATTTAGCATACTTATTGGGACAAACAACCCAGAGCTACAACTCTCACTCCCCACGACCACTAATAGATAAGTTAGCAATAGAGAAGACAGTTAACATGCAAGATTCTCTACGTTGAATTATGAAAAGTTGAAGTGGAAGCTAAACAATGTGTCAATGCAGACAAATGCCACAATGTAAATGAAGCAGAGTGGGAATCATGAGAATTAAAGTGAGAATTCTAAGGAGATTTGAAAGTCTACAACGCCTCAACTACTTTACCATTAACTGTACAAGTTGCCCACCAAAGTATACATAAAAACAGCTACACTCCAATACTAACAACTATAAATCCTTCTTAAATGGACATAATGGAACTATGAGCATTACACAAACAAAATATCAATGACATCCCTCAAGTCCATTTAAATCTAAGCAAATATACTATGCAAATAGACCTAAACATGGAATTCCCTTTATAATGAAGTAAAGTCTTGCACAGGAATTCTCAAGAGGGGTGTAAACCCATGTAAAGGCCTACAGCAAGTGGAGAAAAGTAATGTGCAGTATTTCAAAATTTGATGGGTGTAGATGATATGGTTTTTAACATAAGAGTTTAGTAGACTAGTTTAAAATTGTATTGTAGTGAACAAAAGACGACTTGAAAGAGAATATTGTCAAAGTAACTGTTTATGGTCAAGAGAAGAAAATTCTGTGAATATAATGTGAATGGTGAAGTGCTGGAAGTAGTTAAGCAATGTAAATAACTGAAATGTGCAGTTATTAAATATAAACCCCTAGCATTGTAAATTGAACCTGCCTCTTTATTAATGAAACAATATAATGTAATACCAAATACAAAAATCATTGCTAAAATAAAATAAAGTTACACACATTACTGTACCTGTTTAGAGCATTGAGCATTTCAATGGTGACCAGCACAGACAGAGCCATTGTCATTGGAGCAGGGTGACTGAAAATGTTGCAGTCCAGTCCTTCAAAGTTTTCAGGATCTCCAAGACATTGCAGATGGTGAGAGAGTTGATAGTAGTTTAGGTGAGGGCCAGTAGGATCATACATGAACCACCATGATGCAGCAAAAACGGTGGCTGCACCAACATAGCCACCAATGGCCATGTAACGGAAGAATAGCCAGCCAGAGATGAGGGACTCGTCAGCTCTGCGGGGAGGTTTGTCCATAATATCAAGATCTGGAGGGTTGAAGCCCAAGGCAGTAGCAGGCAAGCCATCAGTTACAAGGTTGACCCACAGGAGCTGGACTGGGATAAGAGCTTCTGGAAGACCTAGAGCAGCAGTCAAAAAGATGGAAACAACCTCACCAACATTGGAAGAAATGAGGTAACGGATGAACTGCTTCATGTTGTTGTAAATAGCACGACCTTCTTCAACAGCAGCCACAATAGAGGAGAAGTTGTCATCAGCCAGCACCATTTCAGAGGCAGACTTGGCCACAGCTGTACCAGATCCCATAGCAATGCCAATTTCAGCTTTCTTCAGGGCAGGTGCATCATTCACACCATCACCTGTCATGGCTGAGATCTCGTTCTCTCCTTGAAGATATTCAACAATCTTTGACTTATGGAAGGGCTCTACACGAGAGAAGAGGCGGGAACGAATACATGCCTGCCTCTGTTCTTCAGGACTTAGCTCGTCAAACTCACGGCCAGAATATGACATACCAGTTGTATCTTCATCTTCTTTAAAAACTCCAATACGACGGCAGATAGCCTCAGCAGTTGCCTTATTGTCTCCAGTAATGACAATAACACGGATACCAGCATCACGACATCTCTGGATTGAATCTTTAACTTCCTTACGTGGTGGGTCAAGCATACCAACTACGCCAACAAATGTCATATTAACTTCATATGTATAGAACTTAGAAGCTTCTCCCAGATCCATATCTTCAGGTTTCATTGGATTATCGATGGTAGCAAGACCCAAGCAGCGAAGAGTGTCACGACCACAGCCATAATCACGGGTGACGGACAGAATCTTCTCTTTCACACCAGCAGTAAGAGGGACCTTTTGAGTGCCAACACGCACGTGAGTGCAGCGATCAAGTACACCCTCAGGGGCTCCTTTGCAGAACATCTTTGGTCCAGTTCCCAAGCGGGTAGGTTTGAGTGGAACACAGTATGAAGACATGGATTTGCGATCACGTGAGAACTCGAGGGTGAATTCTTTCTTCCATTTTGTCTCCATGTCGTGCCTAGCAATAATGGCAGCAGAGCGACGATCCAAGCCAGATTTAGACATGTTGTATGGGTTGATCTTCTCACCAAGGACAATAAGAGCTGTCTCAGTTGCCTCACCAACCTTCTCAAACACATTCTTGAATTCATTAAAGTCAATGGAAGAGTCATTACACATAAAAGAAATGGTAGAGAGTTCTTGTAATCCCTCAAAGTCAGATCCCTTAACTTTAGTATTTTTCAGGTATACATCACCAATAGGTTCATAGGTGGAGCCAGTAACTTCAAATTCAAGAAGAGAGGAATCGTTACCCTCAACCTTGTCCATGATGAACATACGAGACACAGACATCTGGTTGGTGGTGAGCGTGCCGGTTTTATCAGAGCAGATGACAGAAGTGCAGCCCAGAGTTTCAACAGAGGGAAGAGACCTAACAATGGCATTCTTCTTAGCCATACGACGGGTACCCAGAGCCAAACAAGTAGTAATAACAGCGGGAAGGCCTTCGGGAATAGCAGCCACAGCCAAGGCAACAGCAATCTTGAAATAATAAATAGCACCCTTGATCCAGGAACCACCATGAGCAGGGTCATTGAAATGTCCAATATTGATAGCCCAGACAGCAACACAAATAATGGAGATAACCTTGGATAATTGTTCACCAAATTCATCAAGTTTCTGTTGTAGTGGAGTCTTGATTTCTTCAGTCTCAGCCATTTGGGTGCGGATCTTACCTAGAATAGAATATCAAAATCAGGTAAGTATTTTCATTGTGTCAAGAAATTGAAAGACTGAATGGTTCATTATTTGGGGAAATTTCTTTAACATGGCTTCCCTTTTTCATCCTAAGTTGTCTCAAGGAAAATTTAGTATGAAGAAGTACTGTATTGTTCTAACTTAACCCTTCTGCTGCTGAAATTTCCCCATGCCCTATAGGCACAGTTTTAAGTTCAATTTTTTTTATAGTATTAACCGCTAAAATATTTTGGTCTGTGCCAGTCTAAAGAGCATACAAGGCTAGTAAGGAGGAATGCAAGGTGCACAAATGCAAAGTCTCTTATTGACAAATGCTGCCACTTGGTGGAGGCCGTGGGTGAGATCTGGGCAGTCCATCTAGCTACCCAGGGGCCAGATTCACGAAAGCACTTACGCAAGCACTTACGAATCTGTACATCTTTCCTCAATCTTTGGCGGCTTTGTTTACAATTATTAAACAGTTAATGAGCTCCGAAGCACCAGGAGGCTGTTTATAACAATAACAGTTGATTGGGAAGTTTTCATGCTTGTAAACTGTTTAATAAATGTAACCAAAGCCATCAAAGATTGAGGAAAGATGCTTGTGTAAGTGCTTTCGTGAATCTGGCCCCAGATCTCCTTTATCTGGAAGCAGAACACTCCTTTACAGCTACTATGATGCAAAGCAAGGCTTCAAAGGGCTCCGAGTATACTGAAAGAGCCCTAGAGGTCATTCCAGCATGAACTGGCTATTTTCTAGCAGCTCTTGCACCATAATGATGAACGTTAACAAAATATTTACTGTATTTTATGTTAGCGTGAAATGTGCCTGCCCTGACTAGGGAAGCAACCAAGTGGCTACAGTTCAGAAATAACTAAAATTTTACAAGTTTTAAAGAAATCGGTACAGGGAAATGGAGTAACTTAAAATACAGATTTGACGTTATACTGACCATACAAACTTTATTTTACATATTATTAATTATTATTATTAATAAATTATTATTATTATTATTATTATTATTATTATTATTATTATTATTATTGGATAAAATTTCACATACCAATGGCAGTTGCGAGACCTGTACCAATGACGACACCACGTGCCTTGCCGGCAGAAACATTGGTTCCTGAGAAGAGGATGTTCTTCTTGTCCTATTGTGAGATACAACCAAATTAGTTTTCACAATGCATAATCATTAAGTTACCTTAATAACTATTATGTGTTTTACAATTAATATTAAACTAATACCATACATCCTATTGGGATAACTTTACTTAAATATTAACAAATAAAATAGTTTAATATCTGCACTAAATACCAGCAGATATACTCTGGAAGATGTAAACATATCAGCAAGCTGAAATGTTATATTACTGAAGGTACTGATGAGGCTTATGCAGACACTTAAATGCAGTGGATTAGGAGTAGCTATGGAGTGTGTTCAAGGTGTGGGATAGTGGTACTGTGCTGTGCTTGTAAAGGGAAAAATTTTTGTTTTGCTACTGTATACAAAAACAGTAACAGTGCAAGAGCAACTATTCTATAGGCATCAGTTTCCATAGTGGGTAAAGTGTGTGGGTGTGTAGCGACAGAGTGCATCAAATACAAAAAGGTCAGTGACAAACTGGGTTCTGTAGTTGAAGCGGCAGAATGCAGTAAATATATAAATGGGAGAAGAGGAAGGCCTGGAAGATGCGAGTACAGTACAATGGTGAGAGCAAGAGGAAGCGGGGAACCGAGTGTGGACAACACATGGAATATGGTAAGGAAGAAGGCTGGACGTAAACAGTGTATTAGGGACAAGGCTCGATGGAAGCAGTAAGAGGTAAATCAATTTTTTTTGCTGCATCAAGAACTCTTTGATACCTCATCTACTGAAGTACAGTAAATGGGGGGGTGCAATTTTAGGCCTATATGATTAAAATGTGGTGCTTTTTTTTCCCCCATGATGTCATACAGTTCTTGTAGCATTACCAATATAACAAATAACTTGACCTATTTACTTTTCAGTATCAAACACCTTTTCACTGCCATTCCTTTAAATGGTCAAAAGTAACTCCTCACCATGAAAGTAAGAAGTGAAGTACTGTACTGACATGAATAAAACTGAACGGTTCTATGTTAAATCTCATTATGTGGATGCAAGTCCACAGTACTGGTGCTACATCCACTCTAAAGCAAAATATGGTGAAAAAACTAATAATAGGTCATAAATAACCAAAATAAAAATATTGTTGTGGATATAAAAATATTACACTGTGCAAGAAAAAAAAATAAAGAAAAATGAGGATTGGGAGGAGAGAGGCAAGTCACGAGGAAAGGGATAGAGAATAATATAAAAAAAGGAGAAAAAGACAGGGAGAGTGGTAACAGTGTGACGTGCTTCCATGGAAGGTAAAGGATCAGAAACTGAATTCTCTACTTGTTTATAAAAAAAAAAAAAAAAAAGCCAAGAGCTCATATTACTAGAAATAATTTTGAAAACTTTCATAGATTTCCAAGAAAATTATTGGCCAAGTTCGGGCGTGATCTTTTCTCAATATTCCCCGGGACTCTACAAGAATACTATACACTATTCTGATTCTGGTCTTCAGACCGAACTTTCTCCCCACTCATCCTCCATCACAATCCTATTTCCTGAATCTCCATCCTTATCCCCCCCCATTCTTTTCCAAACCCTTCGTACATCGAAGCTGAAGGCTGCCCCAAGTCCAGAGGCTTGTTAATTTTGTAGATGCCACTGGTGCCAGGCCCACTGCACTGGAAAGCTACTACGGGTCTACCTAAATAGGTTACACTCAAAGAATGAAAATTAAGCCATGCTTAAGATGATATCACAAGTAAACATGGTTAGACATATTATAGTCTAAATGCAATAAGAAGCATTCTTTTTACATAGCCTATAAAGTGGTATAAAACATTGCAAGATTTATTACTGCTGCCAAGTTCTAATACACTACTATTCACGATGTAAGGGAGGAACAACAAGCATTTTCAGTTTAATAATCATTTACAATAATCTCACGTTTAGCTTTGCTACAAGAAAATGCCATTTATATAAAATAAGATTTGTAAAATTATATTACTGTACACATACTATATACTGTATTGCAGTATAATAACAGCAGCCAATTTTATGAACTTGACAAGTTCCTCCCCTTGTACATCAGTCTTACATCTACACTACTGTATCTCAAAAGCTGCAGACACGGACACAAACACAGATAGACAATGTACATGGTAGTGACCAGACAATAGGCATACTAGCAAACAACTGTCTTTAAAAATAAAAGGATTGGGTAATCACAAGTAGATTTTGGATCGTTTACCTGAATAATGGCACGAGCAATACTCGCCCCATCCATGTCTGCGTGCTTGTAAATGAACAAGGTTTGCACTGTACACAACTGCAAGTACTTTAGCTATTTGCTAGTTTTTACAACTAAGTAAAGAAACTACCTTAAACACTCTTGATACTCATATTTTAATCTCATTATTAGGTATGATCAACTGACAGTCTGCTCACTAAAGGTCTGATAGAAAAAACTATTATGAGGAAAGGCATTTCATTGTTAGTAAACACTTAACACCGGTAGACAAACACCCAAGGGGCAATATTCCCTGTTGGTATAGGAATACACAATGATAAAAAAAAAGAGCTTGGAGAGGGTTAACACCAAGAAAATGTGAGCAGATCAGGCTCGACTTTAATAGTTTCAAAACTTTAACCCTTCTAACAAGTTAACTTGCCACACAATAAAGGCACATCATTATTAGGGATGTTTCACCAATTGAGGCAGGTGATAGGCTAACCTGGTTGACAGCCTTGGGGTCGGGAATGGCATCAGTGTGCTTGATGACCGAAACAGACTCTCCAGTCAGGATAGACTGGTCAATACGTAGGGTCGTGGAAAAGATCTTGACAAGGCGAATGTCAGCAGGAATCTTGTCACCAACTGTGAAGAGGATATAATCAATAATTTGTTTAAACAAGATGAAACAGTGAATAACTGAATTAGACATTATCAATACAGTATACAGTAATAAACAATTAGTTCCCATGACAAGTAATGAGCAGTGTGTATCTAATAATTGGTAGTAGTTTGGCAAATTTAAATCAAGCATGAAAAAATTAGAGCCATTTGAGGAAGGTATTCTAGGTCCCTATGCTAAGCATCTCTCAATACAACTAATTTCATCAATAGTCATTATGCATTTGATGAGAAGTGTTGGCGTGAACTACTTGACCACTAGCCAGAGAGCATTGGGCAATGTGTAAAACCCTTGATTTGAGCTCCAGTTGGAAGGCTCTGAACTAATAAATTCAGCCGAATCCCAAATTGCATTGCTTTTGACCGTGTGGTGTGGTACTCTAAGGCCCTTGCTTTAGAGTACCAAGTAAGAGGGTTCTAATCCTCCACATTGATGCATCACGCTAATGTGATTTCATTGTGCAAATAATAATAAAAATAAGAAACAAGTACCAGGTCCATATACGTTTATCAATCCTGGTAGTGGGGTTTTATTTGATGCAAGCGATTTCCCAGCATTTATTGGGGTGGGGAGGAGGACATGAAAGGAAGTAGAGAGATTAATATACACATACCAGAGACCTCAACGATGTCCCCCGGGACTATCTCCCTGGCACGGACCTTCTGCACACCATGCTTGTTGGAGCGCACTACCTTGCCCATCTCGGGCTCGTACTCCTTCAGCGCCTCGATGGCCGATTCGGCATTGCGTTCCTAGTTAAGAAACAAAATTTACCGATTAATCTCGCACAACAATTTCGTATACATTTGCTAATGTCACTTGAACACGGTGACAATAATCAATAACCATAATCTGTTATAAAGAACAAGTATTATAAAAAGTTACATCAATTTTTGTTTAACAATATAATGGGTGCACATAGGAGAGGAGAAATAAACTGTCTGTCAACAGCCCGTCCTCAGGTTGGTTAGGTTATTAAACATTCAGATCCTCATTGTTGCTTCAAGTAACCTTCTAGACATCTTTCCTACACTACGGCAAACGTCAGAACAAAGTCTGAGGGAAATCATCATTTTCTATACTTTGGAAGCACGAAGAATTAGAAAATAGTATTTAATATCTAAAGGAAAAAATATACATTTATTACACAATGAATTACCAAGCACCAGCTGGGGCGGTCCTCCTCAATACTGCCCACACGACCACCTAACGACATGACGTCACATACTCCACTACTGTTTTACTACCTGTTGATTCTGAGGATCAACGTCCCCATGGCCCGGTCTCTGACCAGGCCTCCTGGTTGATGGCCTCACCAACTAATGACATGCAACCCCTCATACTTAGCCTGCTGCCTAATTAAGTGCACACAATTTTTACAATCTACAAACTGAAAGCAACATCGCATAGGCCAATTCAACTGCTGGGAGAGCAGGGATTCTGACTTAAGAACACACGAATAAAGGTAAGTGCAGAAGACCAATTGGCCCATACGAGGCAGCTCCTATTTATAACTACCCAATCCCACTCATATACATGAGCAACCCACGCTTGAAACAATCGAGGGACCACCACCACGTTACGCGGTAATTGGTTCCACAAATCAACAACGATGTTACAGAACCAGTACAGTATTTACCCAGATCTTTCCAAAATCTAAACTTATCTAATTTATACCCATTGTTTCATGTTCTGTCTTGTTGATACTTTTAATACCCTATTAATATCCCCTTTTGTTATGTCCATTCATCCACTTGTACACCTATCATGCCACTCCTAAACACAAATCACAATAGCATGATGCATCAAATGAACAAATCCAAACCCTCGTCACGTCCCTTGTGGATTTGTTCATGTCACCCATAATTCTTCGCCTTTCTAGAGACTGTAATTTAAGCTTTGTCAATCTTTCTTCATATGACAGGTTTCTAATTTGGAGGATTAACCGTCATCCTATGTTGGACGCGTTTTAGTGACTACATCACTTCTATAGTACGGCGAACAAAATTTAACTGCATAATCTAAATGAGGCCTAACCAGGGCAAGATATAGCTGAAGAACACCAGGTGTCTTATTACTAACGCTTCGATTAATAAATCCCAATGTCCTAATTGCCTTATTACGAACATTTACGCATTGTTTTACATTTTTACTAATCATAACTCCCAGATCCCTGTCGCAATCCGACTTCACAATCTCAACACCATCTAGCTCGTATCTTGTAACTATATCATTACCTAGAATTGTTAGCAGGCAATTAGCGCCTTCCATTCACATAGCTCATCTTAAGTCTGACCCTACTAGTCTTCCCTAGAGCACGTCCCGCCATTACTTTTGGGCGAACAAGGGCAAACAGTTACAGATCGGTACCCAGTCGATCCTCCCCCTACCAACGTCTCTAACCCGGCCAAATCGGTAGCGGGACATGGGGCGTGAGCGCTACCTCTGCACCACAGAATATTGACATCTTTCCCACCAAACTTAAATATTTGAAGCAAAACAGTTGAGATGGCGGTACGTAAATTTGCTCACTTTCATCTTTGTTCCATATTAATCTAGCATTGTATACAGGAGTAAGAGGATTTGCGACACTCCTCCAGTAAGTCCAGCCAAGTTGGTGGTTGTACCCATTGTTAGCAGACAATTAGCGCCTTCTAATGTCTGGAACAAAAAGTTCCAAGTAGCATGGGCTATGGTGAGCCCGTTCCAGCCAAGGCAACGCCCGGTAACAACACAAGGTGTTTCTTGCTAGGCAATACCTAATGAATAACAACCCCCCCCCCCCCCCTACTACGTTATCCAAGACGGCCACAGAATAAAATCTTGTGGTCGTGCCATAAGTCCGCAAACACCGCCACCACATTACCAATTCATCATCTTCACTAGCAAGTCTAGTCTGTATCACGTTCTGCACACACTGAATACAGAACATAACATTTTAACATTATGGCGTAACTGATAAGTTAGTTATAATCACAAACACTGAAGGAATTAAGTTAAAATACAAAAGTACCAAATGGCCAGCAAATCGCTGTCCAACATTCACTAATTTACATTACTGTACTTTCAACGAGAACTATTAATATGAAGTATATCGTTATATATATAAGCAATTCTACCGTCTAGAAAAAAGTTATGCATTTGTCACAAATGTAAAGCAATATATTCCAAATAATGGAATATATGAAAACGTTATTCGACTGTCCCTATGTAGACGGAAGATAAAATCCTCAACAATCTGAATGATTGAAAGTCGCTACCTTAAGCTACGTTATTTTAAGAGGACGGGTTGCGATGCGACCAGTAAAAGTTTTTTCCGCACATTTTAGGGTTAATAACTTCGCCAGCTTTAAAGGTACCCTATAATACTTTATCTAAATAAAACATGCGTTGAGTACTGTCATAGACCTTGGCGCCTCATATTTGAAAAATTCTTGTTCATGATATCGTCCTAGCAGTTTCAGTATAACCTATTGTGTACTTCCAAGGTCACACCGTCGGTCTAACCACTAACCAATCTCTACATCACTTCCGTTCTCTGGTTAACTTTGCGTGTCTTGACACCATTTTTATACAGTATTTAAATTTTTTCTTTCCAGTCAATCAAATTGAAATTTTGTGAATTTAGTTGAACTAATAAGTTCAATAATTGGATAATTTGGTTGAAATACTGAAGATTTTCTGTGTGGCTCACCAGTAACAAATGTTATGTCAATTTCCGTACCGCCCCCAACATTTATTGAAGTGTGAGTTTGCCCATGAGCTCTGTTTAGGCTGTCCTCGGGCATACAGAGGAAATGGCAGTAATTACCTTAGTGTAGTTACAGGATGAGAGCTATGCTCGTGGTGTCCCGTCTTCCAGCACACTGTCGTATAAAGCTTTGAAACTACTGACGGTTTTGGCCTCCACCCCCTTCTCAATTTGCTCCATCTACCACTGTTTGTAGTAGTGCGTTTATTGTTCATATACGCCTAGCCATAATTTCAAAGAAAAACAAAAACTTGAGAATAATGCCTAGGTATACTCTGTGTGAGAGTCTGGTATTGAGGGCGAGAGATATGAACAATAACCACACTATGTGAAGGCAACACTCACGGTGGAGGAACAGTACACTGGTCATTACTTTTGGGGCTCGGGTAAGATACTAGGCTTCCCCAAGCGCACTGCTGCTACATCACCAACTTTATCGAAAGTTGGATGGCTAATGCCAACATGGAATCTTCCAGTGCCTTCAACAGTGTCAAAATAATGCAACACAAAAGAAAAGCGGGTTCGATCTGCCATGTTGAGCGGATGTAGAAACTTTTTTTTTAATTTACGCCAAGCAGTCAAAGATTTAAACTATTTTTTTTTTAATATATTTAAGAAATATTATTGTAAAATCAATTGCGTGGCATCCTTTAACAAAATAAGTTTCTTTCATATTCGGGTGGCATAGTTGTGATTATTTCCCTACGTAATAATTACAAACTTATAACAGGGCAATTTGTTTTATTAAAATGTTAAAAATGCCAAGATAGTTTGTGTTATTACAAAAAGCCGAGGATTTTTTTCGGGAAGGCCCTTTTTTATTCTCCTGATCGATGCGCAAGTAATTTCCTCTGCTCTTTCCTTTATCCAGAGCGATTATTTATGGTGTCAAATTGACAGTGAATAAGCTCTTTCCTTCACAAAATGGATTGTCTCTGCTTTTAAGCCACTTCTAAAGTTTAAACGATTTAAAGACATTAACTGTGTTGAGTTTATCATCCTGAATGTAAATTGTCGGAAAATCCGACACCATTTAATAATCATACAGACAGATAATAATTGCTGCTGTATTACCAACAAGTTACCCATAGAAAACGTAACTTGTAGTGGAATTACCGTCTATAGAAAACGGGATATCATCACCACATACTATTATAATTCACCACCTATTATGGTGGGAATTATTCTTAAATACATTAGTCTTTGGACTTTACCATCATAAAAACATCTCATATAAATTAACTTAATTATCAATATTAAAGTAGAGTAAATGTGACCCTTCTATCACTTTCTGACATGTGGACAAAGTAGGCCAGGCGTGAGGGAGGAAGGAGGCAGCCATTGTTGTGTCACCTCCGAGACGTGTGGAGCAAATTTGGCTCCTATCATTCTGGACAATGTCGGCCAGACGTCAATAGAATGGAGTGTTAGATGCAGCCGTTGTTATACGAGACCAGAGGCTCACACGGGAGCAAATTCGGCTCCTGTTAAATTTACTTGGACGTAGTGTTATGGAAACCAAAGGTACAATCTCCAACACGATGTCTACAATTCAAGTTAAGTCTATCCGAAACCCGTTTATCATTCATTTATGGCCATTAATGTCAGGATATAGGGTGACCCGGTTAGATCGCGAAATCGCCTCAAACTAAAGGTAATTAAGCCAGGTCTTAATGTTCCATGTACTGTATAGTGTTTTCTCTGATATAGCTTGTCATATATAGGATTCTGGCTTCACAGCTAGCGCACTTTTGACAGGTCAAGACGAGGATGCAAGATTTTGTGCACCAGTTACTGGGTGATGGAAGCTGCCTCAAAGAGGATAATTTGGTGTCTACACCCTAGTTATACCTGGTGGACTAACCTGCTGTACTATAAGAGAAGGAACCTCATCAATGTATGTAGCTATTACTGTAGTTTGATTGGCTGCATATATATTAATTTAATAACCCCCCTAATGTGTAGAGGATCGATTTGTGAGATTAAGAGATTATTGCAGAA